CTTTGCCCTTGGGCTGCTAGGCAAGGACTGGAGCCAGGAGGGGCTTTGCCAGCAGGGTCCCACATGGTAAGACTTGGTGTGAAGCATCTCCCCCACAGTGCATCTCCTTCACAGAGATGGGTGAAGAGACAGCTACAGGCTGAGCTCACCCTGAACTGGACGTTGCCCTGGCAGAGAGTACTGGGTAGATATGGGAGGAGATCAGCAGCTCCTTGACTGATTTTGTAGAGGCTCCTCAAATGAGATGGGGACACAAGGAGATGAAAACTGGGTGGACTGGCCAACTTGATGGTCTTCTCCTGGAAGGGAAGCAGCATTCCTTCCTTCTCCATCACCATCCTCCCCTCCCAGGGCACCTCTCTGGTGCCTGCCCTTCCCTGGCAGCTGCGTGGCCTCTCCTGGTGCTTGTTTCCAGAGTGACCTGCTGACCAAGGCATGTCCCTTTTTAGCTGCTGACAAGCCTGCACAGCTCTCTGAACTGTAAGCAGCTCTGAGTTCTGAGTTGCAATGTTGTTGCTCATCGAAGGTGGGACCTGGGTTGTGACTGTTTGGCAGGGGATGTCTGAGTGTAGGGAAGGGCAGAGGGGACAATCTGTTTCCTCAGCCTTGATAGTGCTGACTCTGGACCTGCTGTCATGCACCTGCAGATTCCTGCACAGGGCTTTAAGGGTGGCCTCCAGCCCACAGACTTCCTGCCCTGCTTCGTGTCCCCTTGTGTGCATTACACGCGCCATCTGCCACAAACAGGGGCAGCCAAAGCAGGGAACCAGGAACATGAGCCCATGGAGGTCCAGCTGGCAAGGGCAAGGGCTTGGCCTGCTCTTCAGCCCCAACATGGTCAGGAGTGGAGCACAGGACACACAGGGAAAGGCTGGGAGAGCTGGGTTTGTTCAGATTGAAGAAGGGAAAGTTTGGAGGGATCTTACAGCTCTCTGCAGGTAATTAACTGGAGGATGCAGAGAAGATGGAGCCAGATCTTCTGAGGTGCATGAGGAGAGGAAGAGGGGCAATTGGAACAAGCTGGAACATGGGAAATTCCTCGTAGATACCTGGAAAAAAATTCACCATGAGGGCAGAGAGGCTGTGGGATCTCCATCAAACCTCAACTGGACAAGGTCTGCAGCAACTGGGTCCTGACCTGGTTCAGCAAAGCTGGCCCTGCTTTGGGCAGAGGGTCAGTCCCTTCCCATCTAAGTTATTCCATGTTTCTGTTAGGGCACACCTTAATGATGCATTAACATTGTTCCCAGGTACTTTATCTACATTACGCAAGGCTTTCATCTTGCTGCATGTAGCCTTGCAGCAGCTCTACGTGAGCCATCCTTCCTTTTCATAAAGAAATCAGGGATTTCCTTACTTTCCTCACCTAGGCTCCCATCCACAATGGGGGATCTCTGGGGCTTGGTGAAGTCTACCTGCTTTGCCAAGGGCCAGCCCATGATCTGCCCAGCTCTGTTGCCTTCTCATCCTCCCACAGCACCACCCCAAAAACATCTCAATGCCACACATTTGCGAGGAGTGGAGGGAAGGTTTTGCTCAAGAACAACCTGTCCACATGTCTCAGCAGGCTTCTGCGTGACTTTCCTCAACTTGGCAACTCCATGCTCACTTTCAGCTGGATCCTGATTACCCTGTTGGATCTGAGCTCTCCCTCTGGCCCGTTCCTGTGGTGCTTTCTGGTCCCACAGAAGAAAGAGAGCCTTTCATGAGAGGCAGAGCAAAACTAAGGCTTTGCAAATCTGAAGAGCAGGCTTCCTCCTGGAGAAACTTTGCCAGGCTCTGGGAACTCTTAGCTGTGCTGGGGCGAGGCTGAGTCACTGCTCAGAAAATGGCATTATCCTGGGAAATACAAGAAATTCCCAGCACTCTTACCTCTGTCCCTCCTGGTGACCACCTGCCCTGAAGAAGTAGTAACCCAAGGTGATAAAAAAGCAACCACAGCAGGACTCCCTGTCACCAATTTTGGGGACCAACTATTTTTCCCCGGCAGATTTTGCAGTGATCCGTAGAGACTTTCAGCTCAGGAGCGCCTGACAAGTTTGAACAGCAAACCCTGCACCACTCTGGGAGCAGTATTGGGCCAGCGAGCCCTTTGATTGCAATCAGTGAGTTGGCAGGAATCCCAGGAACTCGTACAAAAATGCTTTGAAGAGGCCAGATGCACAAGGCGTGTCCCTGTGTGGGGTGCGGAGTGGTGATTCACGGCATCACCATGCGATGCTTGCTGTGCGCACATGCAGCCGTTGGACCACAGCGAAGGCCCTCGTCTCCCTCAAATCACCGGTTGCCTATTTATTTTCTTTTTTTTTAAGCTTCCAATCTTTTGCTGATTGTACCCCAAATTCGGCACTGGTTTTGTTTCCCTTTCAGCCTTCCCCCGCTGCTGCCTGTGAGCTCCAGACAGAAAGGCAGACAGGGAATTTGCTTGAGGCGCTGGCAGATGCAAGCTCTGCTGCTGCGCCGGTGCTGTGCTGGGCTTGCTGGGGATGACACTCACCATGCCCTGCTAAGTAAGCATCCCGAGCCTGTGATTCAGAGCAGAAACAGCAGTTTGCATAGAGGTGCAATAAACTCCTTTATTTAAGTACCTTCTGCTCTTTTAGAGCCGGATTTGGAGCCTGTTGCAAAAAAAACGGGAGATTCCCTCCCTTGGGCTAGACCATGCAAACTCGCCTGAAGAAACTGTTGTTTCTTGAAAGCCTCTGTAAGCTCCCTGTCCCCAGGTCTGCAGCCCAGCTCAGCATTTTGGGCGAGTTATGAAACAGGGCAGATGCCAGAGCGTAACATTTGTATTATCCACCAGCAAATGACGGGATGTGATAAACACTTGGCTCTCCCGTGCGGGGACAGGGTGAGGGCTGTTCCTTGCCGTGGGGCAAATGACATTACAGGTTTGCAAGAGCTGGGCACTTTGTTGTGCAGAAGCCATCTGACGCTGACAGCCTGTCATTGATTTGCGAAAACATCATTTGGCATCGATAACAAGCTTTCAGGAGAAACAAGTAGGACAGAGCAAAACAACACCCAGGTATTGCTTTGCTGTTCACTACCCGGACTAGAAGTCCCCACTCTGTGAATGCACAGGAGCAACAGAAAATCCTCCTCCATCTCACTGGGCATCATCCACCTGGTCTTGGACAGCACTCGTCCCTCATCCTGGCTGGCCTTTCTTGGGCATGGTTTAAATGTCCAGGCTGGTTGAGTGATGGAGCAAAGTGAAGCCACTGTATCCCCTGGGTGAGGTGTCAGGAAGTGGGGGGAGGGGGGACCAAATGTAATTACCCTCTAGTTGCTCTAGTCCTGTGCCTCCTTGACAAAGCTTGGGTTTCTGCTGTTGGGTTTCACTGGTGGAGAATCCTGGACCACCAGAAGAGGAAGGTGCACAACATTCATCTTCCCCAGCAGCATGCCCTGCGCTTTCTGATACTGCTCTTACTCCTATGAAATACAAAATATGGCACCTGCATGCTCACAAGCCACCGTGGAAACACGAAACCTGATGAATGGGAATGAAATAAAGTGCTTCCTGCTGCTTTCAAGGAGGTACCAAGCAATCCATGAGCTGAAAGCACCAGGCCTGTGGGCAGCCAGACCCTGGGCACATATGATTCCCACCAGAGAGAAACCCCACAAGTCCTCTCCACTACAGCACCCCCCATCTAGCAGTGTGGAGGAGCTTGCTCCTCCTGGCCCTTCTCCGGGCTGTGTGCTGACACAAGCACCCAGGACCCAGTCCTGGGGGGCTCAGGAAGCCTCTGCCCTAGGCACCCTCCTCTTGGCCTCCCACCTGATGGGGTTTGTGCCTCTTCTGTATCAGCCTCTTGTGGCTTGGCAGCTTTGTCAGTGCTTGCTGTGACCTGAAACTGGTCACACAAGCACCAAGGTGTTCCGTTCTCTGCAAACGAGTTGCTGCAGTGTGGCTTGGCAGAGAGAAAATTCTTTGCTCAAATTCATAACCTGGCATGTCATTTCTTGTACAGCCATTTTATCTTCTATTCTGCTTTCTAAAAGTCCTATTTTTCTCCATGTTACCCCAAGTTACTTGCAAAGATTGCCCCAACTCTTTGCCTAGTGGCTGCCCTGATTTCTCCATAGGGTTGTCCCTGCAAAAAGTGGGACCACCTTTGGGAAGTGTTCTCACCCCCATGGACGCAGCAGCACCCTGCAGTCAGCAGGACCCTCCATGACCCCTACTTTAGGTGCTCTGCAGGTGACCCTGCAGCCCTGGGCTCAGCAGGGTGGTTTTGCAACTTCTGCAGGCAGAGGAAGTTTTTGCAAATGGGGATCTGGACACATTGACCCAGGAGCATCTCAGCAGGATGGAGGCTGGACACCCAGGTAGGAATGGGCACTGTGGGCAGTGTTGCTCCTCTGACCCATGGTGTATGCAATACTAGCAGGGGTGTCCCCAGGCTCTTGGAACTGAGACACAATTTTGATCCAGTTTAGACTAAGGGGAATAATAAAATACAAGATGAGCAGGCTGTGTGTGAGATCCTCCAGCCTCCAGCTGCTGAAGAGCACCGTTTCCTACCCAGACCACAAAGCCTCAACCATGAGCCCTTCACAGTGAAGGGGACAGTGACGTCCATCCCCAACCTTCACGCCTCAAGCTTTGCCCGCTCCTTAGTACCCACACACCCCCTCGACCCACCCGTTTCTCCACAGGCTGGGGGAGGCAGGTTTGGGGCAAGAGCAGCAGGGAGCCACGTGCCCTGCAGCGGCGGCGCGGGGGCTGCGAGCGAGCCGCGGCGGGGAGCGCGTGGGTGTGTGCAGGCAGGGCTGTATATCCAGTCTGGCAGAGGGTGTGCCTGCTCACACGCCGGGGAGCTGAGCCAGGAGCAGGAGCCCTGAGACACCCTTGGCTGGGGGACGTATGGCAAGGAGGGGTTCGGGAGATTAACCCCAGCACGAGACGCGTTTGCTATCGCCTTGTGTTGTGCGCAGTCAGGTGAAGTGCAGCCCCCTCTCCCCCGCAGCCCCACGGTCTGCTTGCAGCCATGCTTCTCTTTCCACTGAAAACAGCGTTGGCACATGAGTGTTTCCAAGACCAGGCCAGCTCCACTCTGGCTTTGCCCTCGGACCACAAGCTGAAAACTAAGGGCACAGGAAAACAGCGGGTCCAAGAGCAAGTGATGATGACGGTGAAGCGGCAGAAGCAAAAGTCGTCTGTGTCGTCGAGCGTGGGCCACTCCAACCGAGGTAAAATCCCACCATGCTCTGGACAGCAAGGGGGTCCCCGCTGGGGACAGAGCAGATGCTCTGGGGTGCTTTTGTGGGGTTTTGCTTGTGGGGGACAGACCAGTTCACATCTTTCACGGGTTACCCCGGGCAGGGGATGCTGAGGTCTCTTGCACTGGATGGAAGAGTTAGGACAAGACGTGGAGCTGGATGCATCGACCCCCTCCCTGGTGGAGCTGATCTCCTGGGAGTGCTGTACTGTTCCACATCCCTGAGGCACTTGGACATTTCAGTGTGGTGCTATTAACCATTTGTTCCCTGGCTCTAAAGCTGGGGTAGCTGCCTAACCTTTGCAAATCCTTCCTCTGCGAGTACCCCTATGGTTGGAATCCTCCACACCCATGCCCTCCTGTGGATGGCCAAAGCTAATAGCATTGCTCTTCCACTGTGCCATGGGGCCGGGAGCTGGCCACAAGCCAAGGCTCGGCTGTGTCCTGAGCATTGTGGAAGGTGGCGAGCAGGCAGCTCTGCCTACACAGGACACAAACCTGAGCTCGGGATTCACCTCTAAAGCTCCCAACACGTCTCCCATTTGCAGACTGAGAAGTGTGGGAGCCTCCGGGACACCCCATTGTGAGTGGTAGGAAGGAGATGAGTTAGGAGGAGAGATGTCCTTTTCTCACCACAGTGGCTTGCATTGGTTCAGTGGGGATGCTTTGCAGCCCCCTCCATTTTGCAGATGGGTAGAAAGGGGTGTAGGGGTCCGGGCAGCTGCTCCACCTCCATGCACTGAGTCTGTGCTACAGAAAGCAAGCAATCAGCTGAGTCCTGGAGCCAGGTTTCCTACTGGAATATCTTCCTCTTTGGGTCAAGGCTTGGCATATGGTTTTCTTCACCGTCCTTGCATCTGGAGAAGGCTGATTTGGAGTAAACCCCAGCTTTCCCCAGCTGGGAGCTGCAAACCCAGAGGGCTGCGACAGCCACAGTGCAAAACCTCCTGGCTCTCAGAGGTGTTTTTACCAGCAGCTGCAGCAAGCTCACTGGCCTGGCTGAGTTCACCGGGAAGAGGAAAGCCCGAGGCTTTTGGGGAGAAGGGGGTGCCGGAGCTGGGACTGAACTGTTCAGCCACGTCCAGAGTGAGCAGCATGTAGAGGGGTGTTTGCTGGAAAGCTGATGAGCTGGGCCAGTCTCTGCCACCTCTTTCAGAGACTATGGCTTGCCCGGCAGCTTTTCCAAGTTGGATCATGAGGCTGAATCCAGCACTGGTGAGGTGTCATGGTCCAGACACACGTTTTGGGCTGGTTTACGAAGAGAATCCAGGTGGCACTATGCTGCTGGGTGGAAAGTGGAGATCGTGCTCCTGTAGGTGCCATCCTGGCTGTATGCGTTGCAGTTGCTGCGATGGAGGGAATAGAGCAGCTTCACAGTGGATGCCATGTGTACAGTGACCCGTGATGGGCACTGCCAGGAACAAATCTCTGCTTTCTCTTTTTTTGTGTGTTTGTGGACATAGACTCCAAGGGGTGGGTGGGGGATGGGGCAAGGAGAGCTTTCTTCTGCCACCAAAATGGAAGATGCAAATCTCCTCCTACCTCAGGAGAGTTTATTGCTTAAGGTGCCAGACCTGACAAAATAAAATACAAACCAGGATGAGACAAGAGGCTCTGGATGGGGACTGGGGCACTGCCAGCCTCCCTTTCCAATGGATGGGTATTTCAAGGGGAAGCAGGCAGAGAGATATCTCCCATTGCTTCCCATAGGCAGGGAAAAAGGGAGGCAGAGAGGGATTATTCCACTTCGAGAGAAGCCCAGGTGAAACCTCTGGGAAAGGAAAAAAGAAAAGCAAATTCCCGAGCTGCCTGTCTCTGCTTGACAGGCTGAAGCTAAACCCCTCCTCCAGACACTTTTGGAAATGTCTAGGAATGGGAATTGCATGGAAATGTGCAGCTCTGGTTTCTGTGTCCCAGGGAAGCTGAGTCACGTCCAGCTCCCAGGAGCTGCCTCCAAACACAGGGCTGAGGCCATCCCATTCCCACTGTGGGGAGGTTGGCCAGCACAAAGGTCCTGATGGCTGATTCACCCTGGCAGCTGCTCTCTCTGCATTTCTGGACAGAATCCCAGAAGGGCAAGAAGTTGCCATTTGTTCTTGGGGTTTTCTCCTGGGCTGAAGCCTGAGAGGGTCAGGCAAAAATTTCAAATATTGATTTTCACTGATGTAGGTCCAAAGGTTAGCTAAGCAGACCTAATGAGAAGTATTAATGTTTCCTACAAACAGACTGCATGGGTCTGTGAGGGGTGGATGTCTGCCTGTTCAAATGCTCCTCCAACATCAGCTAACTGCATCCCCCCATGATTTCTCAGAGATGCTTCTCAAAGGCAGCACAAGCTGGGGAATTCACAAAGCCCCTTGATAAATTTTCGAGTGCTTTGTTCCTTCTGCACCCAGACAGTTTCCTGTGTGCTTCTGGTTAGGTGTTGGTCCGGGTCCAGCCATCTGTTGTTGCATTTTCATCTGTGGTTTGAGCAGGAGCTGAAGCGTGGTGCAGAGTTTCCCCCAGCTTCAGCAACACATGCGCCTGTGTATGTAGGATGGAGAGCATCAACATGGACCCCTCTTGCATGTAGCAGGGATGGGCGTTGTTGTATCCCATAACTGGAGTTTCTTTAGAGGGTCAACAGATGTTGCCTCAATGTCCTGCTAATTGATGGATACATAAAATTAGTTGGTTATTTTGTGTCCAGCAGATCAAGGCATTGTGGCCACTCTCTGAAGATCTGATGTCACCCAATATGTGCACAAGCCACAGCAGGGCAAGGTGATCCATCTGGGCTCACACTGCTGTGCATTAGCGTAGGGCAGTGAGTGGAAACCAGTTGCTAGCAGCATAATCCTGCACCCACAGTGGGGCGTTTTCTCAGCACAGCAGCTATGGGTATTTCCAAGGATGGCTGCAGAGTTTTGGGTCTGTGGAGTCTGCCCTCCTTGGGTTTTGGGTCTGTGGGGTCTGCCCTAGGGCATATCTGCCCTTCTCACCATGGGACTAGCTAACTGGATGGCTCCCTCTGAATTTGCGAGTAATGCATATTTCCAGGGAAAATGAATTTCAGTGGCATAGCAGGAGAAAAGGCCAAACTGAACCAGCTCCTCATAGCCAACAGTGCTAGTCTGCAAAGTCCTCTGGCTAAAGAAAAGGTTTGCCAGACAGTCGTCACTGGCTGGCAGGCTACAGCAGGAAGCAAAGATCTGAGGAAACCCAATTGAGGAGTGTCGTATTCAACTGTCTGTGATTTAGAGGTTTGCTATGCTGGCTGTGGCTGAGAAGGGAGAAATCCCACCTAGCTCTAATGGGGTTCATTACTCTGATGTGAAGGAAAGAGGAGATTTTGGAGATAGTAAGTCTTTTGAAGACTTCTGTAACCTTCCCCCAGCATGAGATGATTCAGTGAAACCCATCCACTCTTCCACAAACCTTAGATTATTGGTATAGAAAAAATGCCAAAACTCTTCAGCTCATAGGCCGGAAGGCAGAAATGAAGTTTGGTCATTCCTGCAAGAATCTCAGCTTCTGGGATTTCACTAACACTTCTCTCCTAGAAGGCATCCATGCTTTGCCTTGTGCCTCCCACAGGCCCTCTTCTCTTACTACGTTTTTCCTATGTTTAATCATCCTTCTTGTTTTAAAGCCATGCATAGTTTATTATTTAACTTGTCTAGCCTGCACTACCAGTGACTGGTTCTTGTCTTGCCTTTCCCTTCCACAGATTAATATTTATTAACACACATCCATTTCCACAATGGTCCCTGTTAGCTTTATGTGTCTGGCTGAAGTCTTTCACTGTCATGCTTGAAATATGGCACTTTTAACACAATTCTTCTCCTTGCCATCAGTCTCTTAGCTTCAAGGGGTGTAAAGTTGCCTTTGAACAATGTAAATAACTCATTAAGCACAGGTGTATTGGGTTAGATGGAAATCTTAGTTTGCTCTGCAATGATTGATAACAGCTGATATAGAGTGGAGGATGCAAGGTGAGCACTTAGTGGGTCTCCCGGTGATTAACTGCAAGATCTTGCCGTTCTTACCTGTTGTAGTTAGTTTTTACCCTCGTGAACCGTCCACTGAAGTTAAATGAGATTTTAGATTGACCAGGTTTTGAAGGAAATGCCTTGGGGGAATGACAATTTGGGGGTGGGAGAGAGGGGTCCCTATGACAGCCCAGTCAGCACCTGAGAGCCCTCAGGGGTATTTTCTGCCCACAGCCACCGTTGCTGGGAGGCTGTGCTTCATCTCAGTGATTCTCATCCATGTCTTTTCTGTCTCTATCCCATCTGTTATCTACTACTAATACAGTAGCTCTTTGTTTGTCCAAGTGCAAGTGGGCACTTCAGAGCCCTAAACAGCTGCTTGAATGACAACAAATGGGACACAGGCTTATGGACATAGCTATAAAAAAGCACCAGGGAGGCATCTTCCCCAAAGAGCATTTCCACCCCCTGCCAAAATGTTTTTTTCAGGAGGTAGTCTGTTTTTATCCCAGATTGTCAGGATCTGTGACCAGCTTGTATGGTCTTTACCCTTGAGGTGGATGAAAAGAGGAATATCCTTCCTCTCCGTGAGGGCTGGTGATACACCTCCAAGCTGGCTCTCAAGATGAACCAGGCAGAGAAGTGTCTAAACTCGCAGGACTAAACAAAGTTGATGCTTGCTTTAGCCACCTCCATCAGAAAATCCCCAGGTTTTTCCTGGCCTTCAGACTGAGCTCTCCAAGCAATAAATCACAGTTGTGTGGTGGCAGGAGAAGCACCTTCTCCAACCAGCAAGGCAGCTTCAAAATGCCTTGAACATTTGAGGTAATATATAATTATATATTTATAAGCTCTTATATACAAGTTCTTGGAAGTGAAGGCAACTCTTCAATGACTGAAGAACATAAAGTTGCATAAACTGCCTGGTCTTTTGAATTTGGCCATGTAGCGGTGAATTTATACAAGAAAATTAGAGATGTGCCTAAACTGGCTTATTTTTGGTGTCTCCTTGCTCAACCCTGAAGTCTTTAGTGCAGTGCATGGCAAGAATGGGTCCTGAAAGGAAAAGCATGGTCCCAGGGAGGACTGGTCAGATTAACCTATGAGTCATGTCCAGAAACCCTTTCTTCCAACTACTCACTTGGTATCAGGAAAATGCTGCCAGGTGCTCCTGCCTGCAGTTACATGATGTTTGCACAGAACAAGAGGTTGATTGTAAGAAGGAATTCCCAGGAAACTGTTACCATGCGACTGTTTTATCTTTGTGCTCAGAGCTGTTGTTATTAGCTAACTCTGTCCCTTGGTGAATGAACTGGCCCAATCTTACCATTTCAAGCCCTGCCTTGCTTCTGCTGAAGCTCCACACTAATGTCCTGATCTGGAGTTTCAGGGAAAAGCCAGGGTGGAGAGGGAAGCACACAATGAAGAGCACAGCTGAATTATATCTCCCGTAGCATGTTGATGGCCATTTCCTTGCCTTATCAGAAAGTTCTGTGCAACTTAATATATATGACGCAAACAGGGCTGGAGATGTATTAATAGGGAACAATGGCCACCAAGGCTCTAGACTGGAAAATGAGATCCTGTGGTTTTCTGCAGAAGTGCATGTCTGTGAAACTATTTTGCTGTTGCTTATGCTGCATTCAGTGATGTTCTTCAGATGCTGCCATCCATGCAGTCTTGCTCCTCTCTTGTTGACAATAGAAAGTAAATCTTATTATTTATACCACATCTATGGGAATCATCTTCCTGAGAAAATGCAAGAATTTTTAGCCACAAACCAAATCACCATAACAGGTTCTGGATGCCTCAGGCAAGGCAATAAACTAGATTTATTCCAAGGATCAGTGGCTGTAGAAGAGCTGAGTGGCTTCAGGGCCTTTGTGGTTGAGCTTATCCAGTTCATCTAAGAGATGAGTCTTATCAAACAATCAGAGAGATTAGGATATTTCTGACATTACCCACCAGTTTAGGTGCATAACTTAAGACAGGTAAGTCCTGATTTTGTAGTTCGTTAGACATTCAGAGCTTCCCCTGTAAGTTAATTGGAGTGTAGAGTTTGCACTTCCTCATAACGGGACTTGGGATGCCACAATTATTGAGCACTTTTTAAAATGAAACTTAAATGACCTTAAACTTTTTTGGACTGTCTGAAGGGGGTTAAGGGAATTCCAGCATGGAAAGAGAATTACTTGTTTTGTTTTTTCTTGTAGTGATGAATGTAGCATTGAGTAAAATACTTTTAGGAGGGATCCAAAGATTGCACTGCCAAGGGCTACTGGTGAGGGACAGCTGGAAGAGCTTTTAATAGGGCTGGTATAGGTAAATACAAACACTCTGAATAAAGGCCTGAGAAATAGTAGAAATGGCTGATGGGTTCCTCCCGGTCCAAGATATTTGCATCTTTACAAAATGTATCTGAGACCTAGTCTCACATATCTCCCCAGAGTCCCCAAAATAATGATGGACCTTAATACATTTTCAGCAAAAGAACGTACAAATACGCAGAGTGATCTTTTAGAGACTGAAAATCAAAATTTAAGGCAGTGCAATTAGGTTTTTTTTAGTGTTTGACTATTTCAGATCCCCGGGTGTTAAATAGACTTGACCATCATTTATCCATCATGTTTGTTATTTACTATTTATTGAATTTAGCAAGCCTTCCTCAGGCTGCTTGTGTTGATGTGATTGTTAGAATTCAGATCAGGAATGCCAGACTGACAAAAGGGTCGGGGGTGGGTTTTGCTGTCAGAGAAGAGGCAAATTTTGTTTACCTCCAAGTCAGAATAAAGGAATTATGTTCCAGGTTCAGATCTTCCAGGATGTGTAGCACAAAATATCATCCAGTTCCCCTCATATAGCAAATACCTAAGACATTGGCCCGGTGTCTGACCCTGCCTGCTCTTGTCCCCTGCAGATTTTATGGCACTTGGTCTTTTGTGCTGAAAACCTTAGGCTGTTGCTTGTGGTCTGAGGGCTGGAGTTTCGAAGAGCTCTTCTGCAATGAACATCTTCTATGAGTTGCCTGCAAAGGGAAGGGCTCAACTTACTGCTTGTCTTTCCTATGTTCCTGTTAATGTTTCTAACTGTTATTCTTTGGTAACTAAACTCACTGGAAAAAAGAGTGCTATGCTCTGAAAGGGTGCCTGCTGGGACCACTTTCTCCTGCTGACCATGCTTTTTCCATTTACAGGGTCCATGTATGATGGTTTAGCTGATGGTTACGGCTACGGAACATCCCGGGGCAGCTATTATGCCAAAACCCAAACGGGAAACAGCAGCTGGGGATATCCGGTAAGATACTCTTTTATCTGGGAACTGTGGCATACTCTTGAGGTAACCTGTGCAGAAAGCACCCTCTAGCAGGAGCAGTCATGTAGCAAGGTCATAGCACTTCAGAAGCTTGCCCAAGAGAGGTTATGCATGGCTATGGCTATCTTAGAAAGTAATTCAATGCAATGGAAAAGGATGATTGAGGACCCTATATCTATGTTGTATGTGGTTGGGGATTTTAGTGTGGACAAGATTTAGTTTGGTTTGGTGGATTAATATCCACATGGCACAAGAGATTTGAAGCTGTCTGCAGCATCAGTCATGGGTTCAGACTCTTACAACTCAGTTCAAGTCTGGAGCACCTCCATTGCTAACCTGGAACAGTTTCCATTTTTGTTTCCGTGTACAAAACTTCTTTGTGAACAACATTAATGTGGTTGAGTGGTGATAATCAGGGGATCTGTATTATAACTGTGTTGCTATTCCCAATCTCAGCACTAGCGCAGACCCTTTTCAGAGATTCTCTGAGTTTGGAAAAGAGGTGGTCCACTTCTCCCATAGTGATTATTAGAGAAAATATTACAGATTGCCAGAAAAAGCACAGGTGAGATGATAGTACTTGTCTTTGTGCAAGCTGAGTTTATACATCCCACAGAGGTCTTGTCCTTGGTGACAGACTCTTGGTACGCTGCATCGTCTACTGGGACAACTTGTGCTCATGTTGCCTCTCCACCTCAGACCTGTATTCTGTTCTTCCTTGGTTTTCATGAGCTATAAAGTAGAAAGGAGTAATTCACAGATCTGGGATTTGAATATGGGGAAAAGAAAGGGCTCATTTAAACAACTCTGGGACTGTAAAACAGCTCCCTGTCAACCATCAAAGGGTTGAACCAGGAAAGGTGCTTATGTTGGCTTCAAGCACACAGACAGAAAGTTGAAGATTTTCCTGGTAGTTGCCAGATCCTCTGCCTGTTCGTAGCATCAGCATTCCTCAGATTCAGAAAGATTTATCTGTTGACTTTCTTAAAGGCCTTGGTGTAGCACGCTTGCTTCAAGGCAGAGGTGTCACTTGCTAGGTTTGCATCATGGGATTTGCTGCCTACTGCATGCTCAGTAGGAAGGACTGGGAGCACTGGCATGTCTTTGAAATTTTTATTTACAGACTGTCTGTTGACTTGTTTCAATGTCCTTTGCTGAGCTGGTTAAATCCCAGCCAGTGGTGTTTCTGCCTGGTCTAAGACCAAAAGGGTGACTATGATGGATCAGAGCAGAGGTCCATCCAGCTAAGTGTCCTATCTCCATCATTAAGGCAGTGATGGGCCCCTGCAGAAGGGTCTAAGCATAGTAAGCAGTCAGTGATGCATCCCAAAGTGTTTTTGTGGCCACTAGAAATTTGCAACTGAGGGACCTCCTGAGCCAGAGATGGAATCTCTGAGCTTCATAAGTCAAATGATTGTGAAGTTTTGTTCCGATGATATATTGTTGTTTGTCTGTCGTGATTCCTGAATGGAGTTTGTCATGTTTTGTCTAAGCAAAACTGCTCTGTTCCAGCCATTCCAGTAGTTTCTAGCTGGTTTTTGTGTTAAAGAGAGAGGAAGCTAAGCCCCAGCTCTGCAGTTGCCCCTCCAGCTCATGCTCATGTTGGCAAGGTGGTACTGCAGCTAGTGTTGATGGTGTGAGGATTATTGTTTCATTTTGTTCATTCCTGATCTTCCTTCCAATCATTACAACAGCTGGACAAATGCTGGGTAGTTAGCAATGACACTGGCTGCTGGGGATTTCAGTCTAGCAATGGTGGTCTTCTGGTGAACAGCTTGCAAGATGATTACAAAGACCAGGGCCTCCATTAGATACCACAGAGTACTGTGGACACAGCAGTTCAGTCACTTCTGGTTCACGATGGACTTATGCAGCTAATGGCTTTTCTCTGAAGGGCTCTTTTGCATTAACTGATGAGGGAAGGTCTTTCTCCAAACCTAAGTGTCTTACAAGCCTTTCATTCTAGAAATTTTTGGTAAAGGTCTTCAGGACCTGGGCTACGTTTGTAAAAGGGACTGAGACTTGTGAAGGATTCACAGTAAAATTTGTCTAACCTAACTGTCTATCATCTGAAAATCAGCCATTTAGTCTTAACAAGTCATCTAGACTCCTCCCATAGCCAACAAAGAGAGAGGTATGAGGAGGTGATTCATCTCCTCTATCTTGGAGATCTGTCAGGTCAGGATGAATCAGCCCCTCTGGATGCCTATCTCCTTCCACTGGTAGCTGGATTGGAGCAGTCACCTAACAGGTAGGTGACTGCAGTTAGGGGCGATGAGTCCCAAGTGCCATTGGCACATTGGAACGTATAACCTCAAGCCTAAATCTGCTTAACAAGCTTAACAGACATCATATTCCCCAACCACACCAAGGAACCTTCTCCATTTTGCTTCTTCCAGAAAAGTATTAAAGGTTTACACACAACCAGCCTCCAGCTTGGCTTAGCTTTAACTTTTGTCTACGGACCTATTTGAAGTTTGTGCAGGTTCTAGACATTCTAAAAAAACGTTTCTTATTTTAATTCCTGGGCTGTAAGACATGAAAACAAATATAAAGCAAACCTATTTTTGAAGACAAAAATTGCTGGACTTCTTTCCAGCTGGAGCTGGTGCTGTGAATGTTTCTGAGAAGTCACAAAGTCCCTTGAGATGCACAGGCAAATTCAGGTATTTCAGGGAAAAGACCAAGTATAGTGTTCAGGAAAATGACTTAACTCTTAATACTTCTGGAGTTAAAAAGGTGTAACAGGCAATCCATGTCCATGTTGCTTCTCCACAGCACCTGCAACTTAGGCACTGCTTTTAGATTGCCTTAGCTGGTGACTCTAAACGACAGGAGGTATCCTGTCTCACCCACAGCTCTTAAAAACTATTATTCCTGAATTCTTCCTTCTGTCTTGTTTTGGGTCTTCTTGGAAATCTCAAGCTTTTTGGTTCTGAGTTTTCTTCCCAACCTTATGATACTGATGTTCAAATATTAGAGCAAAAGAAATGATAGATCTGAAGGAAGAGCTCTCTTTGGCTCAGTCAACACTTCTAACTAAAACCTTTGATTTACCCATTATTAAAAACTATTTTCTGTTTATTCCTCTTGTGGAGTGCCTTGTTTGTAGCATCATGGTAACTAGCGTTGCAGTGAGTACCTACTCATTATCAGTGTAGGTCATACTGAAATCAGTGGGACCACTCCAGAAACAGGCACTCTGAAGGCAGCAGGTTTGCACTTGGCTGCAGCGTTTCCTTGGCTCATGTGTCAGGGGTTGGCTCAGCCTTCAGGGATGAAGTCCCCAGTCCCATTTGCACAGTGGCTACGGTGGGATGCAGTGATGGGTACATTAATGACTGCAAACTTTTCTGTGTTAGGTGATCTTTCAATCCAAGTGCTGTTGAGCCCAGAAGACCCTTAGAGACATTTGTCACCCTACTAACAATATGTAAGTTATGAGTGGCCACCAGTTCCCAAAGCCATCTGACTGCTGGAGCTGGCTATGCCCTGTCCTGATGTAAGGCCTGAATAGTGCCTGAGGTCCCACAGAAGGTACAGTGGTGACCACAGTTTACACAGACAAACCTGAGGGAGGTTTAAGTAAGCTAAACCAGACACCTAGAGCAGTGCAGTCATGGCAGGAGAAGTCTCAGCATGAGCTGCACCCTTGAGTCTGACACCTCAATACCACCCCAAAAATGGGATCTGCTCAGCATTGGTCTCAAAGCCACTGTCACAGTCCAGTGGCCCATGGGTTGCAGGGAGTGTACTGCTCACCCCAACTGCAGGCACAGCTTTGGAGATGCACAGCCAAATCCTGAACACCAAGGGAAGGCAGTATGTGGAGCCAGGATGCATGCCATCAGCAAAGACCCTCTAAGGCTTAATTCCCACCGGCAGCAATGCTGCTCTTGCCTGGGTCTGCTGGGTTGGCAGGTCCATCCCCGCTAGACAGTCGAGGGAGTTCCCAGGCCCCATGTCTGTTTGGCACTGTCAAGATGATGCGTTATCAAGACAAGGTGGAGAAGCACGCCCAACCTCCCTGTGCTGCTGCTTCCACAAGAAGGAAATACACGAGCATGATGTGGGTGTAAGATGCAGCAATTTCCCCCCCAGCACTGCCCTGAACGAGGGGCAAACAAGCCCCTGGTGCGTTGGGTAGGGAAGGAGACGCATCTCAGACATTAGGGTGCTCTGCCTCCAACAGGGTGATCAGATCATCACCCCCCCCCAGAGCTGACCTCAGCCTGGGGCTTTTAGTGAGTAACGTTTCTGAGAGCAGCCCTGCTCCCAGACCAAGGAAGATTTGGCGTGTCTGCTGCTGCTTTGATTAAAGAAGTTAACTGAGTTGGATCCTGGCACATAACAGCTGGGGACAAGTGGCTACCAGGCCATTGGCGCTCACCACTGCTTTCCTCAGGCACCACTGCTGGGGTCTCGGGCTCTGTGCTGCACTGGCCCACCCAGCTTGGTTTCTGTGGCAATTATGTCCGTTATGGCACTAAGGAAAATAATGCACTTTAGTGATCCCTCTGCACTAGAGACTGTATGTAGATTCTTAAACAAATGTTCTCTGTGGGAGAAAGTTGCAGAGCTTTCTCTCCCAAATGCATTATCTGCATGAAAGGCGTTCGCCACGAGATGGGAACACTCCCTGCTATCCCTGGCTGGCTTTGCCTCTGTGGACAAAAATCTCTCATTGCCAGTGGAGCTTTGTTCCATAAGGATTTCAGGACAAAATTTGTCATTTGCTGTGATGACACATTCAAGTTTAAAAAAACTCTAAAAATAGAGTGGTTTGGGCAATCTTATCAAAGAAAACAAAGATTTATAGCTGTTGCACATCATTGCTCAGTCAGACCCTGGTCTCCCTGTGAGGTTTTGCAAGAGGCTTTATGCTTTGGAGTAGCAAGTTGGACATTACCTTCCCTGGCTAGAATGAACTGAACCATCAAGACCTAAATCTCAGCTGCATAACGAACCAGATGAAAAAGCATACCGAAAGGCAGCAACCAGGCGAGGTGGGAAATAGCATTTCAGAAATAGATAAATAATATATTTGCTGGTTTTGCAATTTTTCTCCCTACAATGGAGTGTGTAGCAGGCAGCAGCTAAAGCATTTCGCAAGTAACATCAAGAGTTTTCCCCACCCATCACTTAGGGTGGGACGCTGTCATGTTGCATTGCCTGTGCTTTGCCCTCCAGCCTGGGAGAAACCTGCTCCTGACGTGTTTATACGGAGTCCTTTACTTCTCTCTGTCTGCTGCTCTAGAAACAAACAAATTGCAAGGGAAAAATTAGAGCCAGGTAATGAACTGATCGCGTCCTTAGATGCAGAAGTCAGAAACACCCAGTTATCTGGGAGGGCCTCTGACATGGAAAGGCAGCGCTGAGATCGGAGTGAGATTCCCGGAGCTGGTGTGCCTTGCTCTGTGCTTCTGCTTCTCTGGAAAGCAGGAGGAGGAGATGGACTTTTCCTGTTAAACAAAAGGGTTTATGGAAGAAAAAGACAGAAAAGGACTCATGGTCAATGATTGGGATAATGCCATTTTGACTTTAGCACCATTTTTATTCCAGTTGAAATAAGAGATTAAAAATCATTATTTACCTGTCTTGTGTGACTGTTGGATATTCCAACTGATGTTCCTAAAATGCTCCCACAGTGCAGGCTGAGAGCTGGTGATCCACAAAATGCTCATTAATTTGAGGCAGGTCTTTGCTGTGCTGGTGAAGGAAAGCCCTTACTGTCTGATAAGAGCACCTGCATGCTATCAGTGCTCATCTTTGCTGCCTTTCCTCCCCGTACCTCCCCTCCTTGTTTTAATATGAATGAACGGCTCCCAAGTCTTGGCCTCAAACCTACAGGCTCATTTCACAGCAGGGAGAAGTTCAGGCTAAAATTCAGGATGTCAGCATTGCCTGGCTGCACATGAACATCCTCCTGCATGAGGATGGGGTGCAGGGGACTGCTAGTGCATGATGGTGTCTGGCCGAAAGGAGAGACCTACCAAGCTGCCCCAACTTCTCAGGTGTCATGGGGAGAAGTCTTGGTGATAGCCTATGCTCTTCTAAAATGGTTTCCAAATCTTGCAGTGCAGGGGGAATCACTGTTTTCTGTCTCCACCCCGCTTTGAGGGACTTCATTGTCTTTTCCAGCATATCTCCGCACTCCTAAAGGAAAGAGATGTGGCCCTGGCCCACCTCCCCCATGCAAACACCCACAAGCAGTGGGCAGATACAATTCAGGGTGTTAGGAAATCTGGGTGGTTTATGAGGTTTGAAGGCAAGAGATTGATTATTTCCTTTCACTAATGCTGTTCTGCATAGGGAGAGCTCACTCTACACACGTAATGGCATCAGCAAAAGTTACGAGACTGTTGTCAGGTGGCTCTTTAAACCACAGACTATGTAATAGCATCACCTTCACCTTCAGAGATGTCATCTCTTCTCCAGAAGGCAGAGTGCCTCGCTTCTACCTTGCTGTGCATCCTATCTCACTGATCACTGCGTCCAGCAAAGAGATAACAACATGGGGAACTCCATTCCCTTGGCCACGTTTGCTCCAGTGTTAGAATTGAAGGTCTCTGACTTAGCTTGATGAACATCTGAAATGGGGACGTAGGTTTTAGTCTGAGAAAGCTGCTCTTAAGGCACAGACACGGCACTTTGCCGAGATCAAGAAGCGATCAGGTCAGCTATGTCTGTGCAAGGATTCATAGAGACTATTTGGCAAGCAGGTCTGAAATCCACTGAAGCTGGCAGGAGACTTCTCATCGATTTGGAGGCTTTGGATCAGGCTCCTGCTGCAAAGAGGAATTCTAAGATACCAATTAGGTCCGTGCCACTTGAAAGAGATTAAAATGGGCTCAGCCAAGCATCTGGTAGAATCAGCAATAAAAGTCATGCACTGACTTTGGTAATGAGCTTCACATCACACGAGAACTATTTTCCCATGAGTTTGCAAAAGGCTTCCCCACCCTGCCAGGACCTGCACTGACTTGCTGCTCCAGGCTCCCTGTGTTGCAGAAAGGTGTCTTTCCAAACAGGCAGTCGCTTTGCTTCACCCGTCTCAGGGCTGGCAAGAAAGAAGACAATGCTATATACCACTGTAAAACACAGCAGGAAATACAGAATTGATAGTTCTATATCTATAAACACAGACATAATCACAACTTCCCTCGCCCGTTCTGCTGGCAGAAAGCCCATGTTCATATACTGGAGAGCAAACAATAGCTTTAGATAAATAATAAGTTAGCTCTTCCATGGTTAGCTGAATTGGTTTCAGCAAATGCCCAGGGGCTCCACAGCTCTGCCAAGCTTCTGACAGCCCTACAAAATAATCCCATCTTATACTGACTCATAAAGAAAAACAACAGGGCTCAGATCTAACAAGCTGCTGCTCTGTCCTCCAGCCAGACACTGCCAGCAGCAAGTCCTGGGAGTGGGTTCCCTACTCCACTGAGCAGCAAAGTCCACCCTGCACCTTCCTGCCACAGCCCTGTCCCATCCTTTACTGTCCTGAGGGTTTCTGAATCCAGGAAAATGAAGAAAAATTGAGGATGATATCACCCGTAGAAGGATATACTCATGCCCAGTGGGGTAGATCATGACTTCATGAAAGGTCATTTTGCCTTTGCTGCATGCATGCTGCATCCAAAGCAAAACCAGGATGGAGAGAACTTCCGGGCATGGCCACCCTGGAAATTTCAGTGGGCTTGCCCCACTGGCAGGGAAGCCCCCGAGACTTATTGCACTTACCCATGTGCCTTGTCCTTGCTTTTCTTATCGCATGCAAATTTTTCTTCCAAATCCCTGGGAGCCCTGCAATATGCACCAAACCAGTTACTTGCCATGCTGCAGTACTAACAGGTTTTTTCTGTGTCCTCTGGAGTAAATGCAAAGAGAATTTGCTCCCCTTTTCTCCCCTTCCAGCAATTCACCTGTTTAGATGCAAACCTGCAGAATGAAAGTATGAAAACTACTTCAGACTGGTGCTCAAATGACAGAGCAATCTAGGTATTGGCATAGCTGGACTAAAGCTTTTCTTCTTATCCATATGGCATGCCTGCTAGGTAACCCCTTTTAAAAGTTTTCAGCCGTTACATGCGCAACTCTCTGGGATGCAGCAGAGAGGATTCACTGCATTCCTGAAGATCAGTTTGTTAATGGAAGTATTTGGCTTAATTAATTAACATAATGACAATTCTGCAGAGTCTTGGAGACGGGAATGATGCTGAGTGTGCTCAGGGCTGGGATGAAGTTGGAGCAGAGCAGCGGGACTCAGGGTGAGCCTGCAGAGGATACCAATTTCTTTGTCATGTGGTGTTTCTAGGTTAGGATTTTTTTTCAGTGACATGAACTATTGCACCAGGCACAGACTTTTCACTCCTTGTGCCTTGGACCTCCATGGAAATAATAAGGTTGACTTTTCTCTCCCAGCCCAAGAGATCTTTTGGTGGCTTTTGCAGAAAAAGGCATCCAAAGTACCACTGCTTCAAGTTAGGTGAGAAAAAAAACCTTGCCCAACAAGAAATCACAGATGAGCTTTCCCAAGATAAACCAAAGGGGGATGAGGCAGGCAGTTTTATTCTTTAGTTCTTTTTGTGCCTGTTTGCTGTATGTCTTGGAGATCTGCTTGCCAGCATGCTGAGTGGGAAGCAGTGGAAAAACTCAATATCACGGGGCAAACAGCACTAAAATAGCTTTATTTATTTTCCTTTCTGGAGTATACACCTTAGCGACTTGTCTCGCACTTGGATACAACTCTGCAGACTTCCAGGTGCCAGCATTGACATCCAGAAGGTTTAATATTGCAAAAGAATATTGGATTCAATCCTGGTGTACTTGGGGCAAATCTGGAGGACTTTTGGTGAAATGGTGAAGACATTTTGAACTGACAGCAGGCCAGCTAAAGCCATTTTTTCATTTGATGAATTGCAGTTGGTTTTTTTTACTGTCTTTTATTCTTTTTTTTTTCTTCCTGGCTTAGTCATCTCAATTCCTATTGCATATCCCCCATTGTTCTCAAAACATCCCATTTTATGAGCTGATACTACACACCTTGTAACTCATAAGCAGATCTTCATTGTCTCCACTTGTTTCTTGGCACAATGAGATTCAAGAATCCCTTCTTACTCATTTTTCACTCTCTTTACTCCCTTCCTAAGGAACTTATAGATAGAAGGGCAACAAAATAGCATAAAGAAATTAAAAATAAATGCAGGCAGTGCTGGAAGGTCAGAATGGGGCATCATTCTCTGTGATGGCAAGAGATGTGATATGAACTTCTCTAATTACAGGTTGGGTTAGACCCCATGTATTGGAAATAAGGCATTTTCTCTAATGCCAGCATCGTATTTGAGCTTTCAGTTCTGCTTTCAAGTTCCTGGATGCCATATCCTGATCACTAAGTGTCCCCAGGTTTCAAGGGAGGCTTTGGTACCTTTGTAAGGGCTGCAGGTGGGCTAACCTCCCATAAATCCAGGGCCACAAAAATGCCTAAGAGGTATAGGAATTTGGTAGCCGTGACACCCACACAGGAGTGGGCTTGGCAATGTCGATCTTCAGCTCAACCCTTTCCTAATTTTTTTGTCTCCTGTTTCTCATTGACCAGCTGTACAATGGGACCCTGAAGCGGGACGTGGAGAACAGGCGCTACAGCTCCTACAGCCAGATGGAGGGCTGGGGCAGCAAGCACTACAGCAAGGCTGTCTGCAGCCCCACCAGGGCCGGCAGCGACTACTGCTTTGTGCAGAACATCAAGAGCAGCCGGAGCGAGCCTGACCTCTACTGCGAACCACCCCGGGGCACGCTGAGGAAGAGTCAGGTGGGGGGCCGGGCAGAGCACAAGGCAACCTTGAACCGCCAGAGCATCTACAGCAGCTGTAGCACCCAGCAAGGAACTACCAGGACAAGTAAAAAAATGCCGGCACGAGCCCTCTCTTGCCCCTCAAGCAACAAGCCCGATGTGGTCTATGCCCAGCCCATGATGAGCTGCAAGCAAGATGTGGTTTATGGACAGGCTCAGTCCAGCTCCAAGTAAGTCTGCTGCAATGGGCTGAATCTGAGTAAATGTAGACATCTTCTGTGGAGGTCTGCCATCAGAGCTAGTCACCTGAGCTGTTTTATAGCCACTGGAGATCTGCTCACCAGTGCACACTGTGCTTAATCGCATCCTGCAGTAGAGCCTAAAGTGGGTCAGATGAGTCACACTCTTAAAGGGCTTATTTCTTTTCATGAGCTATGGAGGAAAACCAATATGACTGGGTCAGTGTATATATCTCTGCTGTAGCTGTGTGACGTTGGGCAAGATGATCTCCCAGTCTCTGTGGTGGTATTAACCGACAGCTCCTTTGCAAGAGAGAGGTGAAGGAGGTGGGGAGGTGAAGAGCAGAAAGCCTGCTGTGCAGTTTGGGTGCTTTTCCCGATTGTCACACTGTTTTGATTTGGCAGAAAACAAACCTAAAAATCAACTAACTTTGAAGGAGTTGGCTCCTGAGGGTCTGACTCAGAACAGAGCTGAGAATCTGCTGAGTGGTCATATTTACCCCTCTGTCTTTTTACCCAGCCCTGGCTTCATTCACCCAAAGGTCTGATTTGGGTTCCAGAAAAAAACTGAGTCAGAAATGGAAATAAATAGCCTAATTGGAATGATTTACCTAGCCAGAAAAGAGGAGGGAATGGAAGCTGTTCAATTCCTTCCTATCCAGAGCATCCAGTCCCATTGGGGTTAGGAATTATGCAAGGGTGGAGGATGGTCCTTCATGTCTCAGCATCAGGTCCCTTCTTGTAAATGTTGCCTACAACAATAGGGCATGTAAAACACACCAGTGAGCTCAGACACTCCCAAGCTGGTATATCTGTGCAATGCAGCAGAGCTGTCACTAAAAAAAAAACTAGTGGATTTTTGATGGCATTACAGTGATGTTGATTAAAAGCTGCCCTGATGCTGATGGCTACGCTGCCTCTGGCTCTGGAGCACCAACCACAGCCTTGGAAGAGATTTGGTCTGCACAAACTATAGTCTTGGAAAACTATGGTTTGCAAGTTTTGAACTCCAAAACATTGCAGTTCAAGGTTGCAGTGTTTTACTGGGCTGGAGAAGGAGGGTCTACATCTTCCACAAGCATTCCCAGGGGCTACTGCACTACCATTGCTGCATCACTGTCATATACAGCCTGCCCTGCACCAACACAGAAGTTGTCACAACTCCCAGACAGACGTGGCAGCTTGTCACACAAATCCTAGGAGCTCCCGAGCTCATTCCTGGTGGTCCCTGGTCCAAAAGAGAATTTGCACACTGCAGCATAAGTGTGAGACTAATTAACAGGGCTCATAGCCTTTGTCATAACTCACACCAAAGGCCTGAGATTGTTGAGCCGTTGACCCAAGGTGTGATGTAGATATTAAGAAACATGTCATCGTCCCTCCCCCAGTCAGCAGTGTGAGCCAAATCATGCTCTTTTTCACATCTGAATGTTGATTTCCAGATTTCTCTGCTCAGCCTCCCTCATTTTGTATTGAGTAGAAGTATGTCCCAGAGTGTCTATGCCAAGAAATGTCACTCACCTGTTAGCATGTTGTCATGAAAACTTAACTTCCCATGTGCCAGTTATTTCATGTTTAACACATGCAAAATTAGCCCTGGCCAACCTGGAGCACCAGTGGCATTGGCTTGCTACTTTCAGAAGCTTAGTAATTCCTCTGGAATAGGAAACAGAGAAGTTACATAAACTGCAAGTAACTTGTTCTAGAGAATTTCTGACTAAAGAGCATAAAAGTGTAGTGGGAGGGATGGCAGAATGATTAAATATGGGACTACAGCCAGCTTCTGCCTAGGGAAAATACTGCTTTCGAGAAGTTAGTCCCAGGCAGGCAGGCTCTCTCCAAAGCAAGCCCTGCTCTGCACTGCACTGCACTCACAGTTATAGACTTGGTCATTTCTTTGGAAAGGTCACTTGAAGAATAATGGCATTTTCTGAAGAGAAGGAGAACTGCTGTTGTGAGAGGAATACTTTCCAGCACTGGATGCCCTTTGGTTAGGGAGTGGTTCCATTTATACACTTCTCCTGGCTTGGGGCATAGCTCATCTGGCAGAACTGGTTCTGATGTGGAAACGTCGGTCTTCAAGTCGTAGGCTCAGCTGGGGCTGTGTCCCCTGAGTAAATCTGATTTGGCTGGGGTACACTCCCCTGCTTCGCATGAAACTGACTGCAAAACTAGATTAGTTTGGTGGGCAGTTTGTACAAGCGCTTCTGCTCTTGACTCAAAGGAGATGAGGTTGGCAGCAGTTGTCCTTAAAGTTTTGGAAACATACTAGGGAGTTGTTGTCTTTGAAAAAATTACTTATTTGGAAGGCCTTTAGCCCTTATAAATATCTGGCAGGCCACTGTTAGCCTTGGTCTGTAGTGTGCTTTTGTTGGGAAGGGGCTTTCAAAGATGGGTTAGGACCATATCTGGGCTCTCTTTGCTGTGTAGGACTGTTTCTGGTTGGAGGATTCCACACTTGGAGAGCTTGATCTTCATTTGAGTAGGCTGATCTTTGAGCAGGGAGAGGTTTGCTTGTAGGCATCCCATTATTAACCTCTGCATGCAGGAAGAGGGCTTAGCTGGGTAATAGCTGCTGGTAGTTCCCTGTTTGGGGCTCTGCTCTTCCTAGTCTAGTAGTTCTTCAGGTAGAGTTTTTGCCTTCATAACAAGGATAATTTTGTGTTCAGTTTTCATGCTGTAAATCTCCTGTGTGGGTGGCTATCTTGTCTGCAGGTTAGCAAACCGTCTCTATGAGCAAAGCTAGATAGTTTCCAGGCTTTCAGAGGTGATCCAGTGGGGTGATTTCCATTGCTGTGAGAGTGATTACAGTGGGACCTATGATCCCCAGGTCTGTCTATGATACAAAATTGCTCTGTAATTCAGTGACTGAGGACAGTGTCAGTATTGGTCCAAGAGTGGTGCTTCTCAGGTGTCCAGTGCTACAGATCTGATCTCCTTGGATGGTGTAAGATGAAAAAGGGGTCGTTGGATGTTCTCAGGTAGTGAGAGTATCAAAATGCAAGAACTGTCAAACTATCTGTACTGAACAGTTCTTCTGCATTTGGTCACAAAGTTATTTAATTTCTGGAATTATTCTTGATTGTGTGATTGTTTCCATTTATTGAACTGTCTTTGGCTGTGTAAGACTTAGAAGAGCTGTCTCTTTAATAACTATCTGTCAGAAGAGTCCTTCCTCTTACAGAAGCAACTCTAGTTGATGAAAGCACCTTTCCTCCAGTTAGCTGATGAGTAGTTTAACACCTAAATGTTTTTTTGGAAAAAACATTCTATGATTCAATGATAAACTAAACTGTGATGTAGGGTTTTACTCACCCCATAGCATTGGTTCTGGTAATGAAATCTGAGGTTTGCACTGTTTGTTCAGATCAAGAGGTGAAACAGTACTGACTTGCTTTGAGAAACCTCCTCCTGAACTATATTGTCTTCCACCACCCCTGTCGTTATGATCCTGCCTCACTGGATGTCCCTTCCAGACATACTTCTCTATAACCACTCAGGAGCTTAAGCCTTTGTAAACATTATGTCATATCTGGAACAACATTTCCAAGCTCACTATATCTCTCCTGGGCTCAGAATTTCATGGGTTATTCTGGTGGCTCCTGCCCAAAAAGCAGTTCTCACTGAGCAGCACTCACATTTTGCCACAATACAGCTCTCTGGAGTGAGTCCTTCTACCTGATAGAGCTGGAGGGAGTCTTTTGGGTGTCCAGGAGTCCCTCTTCTCCCTGGAATCCTTCTCCTTTTTGGGCTCTCATGACATCCTGCAGATCTGCAGCCTTTCATCCTGGAAACCGGCAGCAATAGTGGTTTCAGCAGCTGGTGAAGACTATGCATATTTGCCTGCTTTTAACCATTTCCTCTGATGGGTGGTACTTGCAACATGCTCCAAGTGATGGTGTGCCATCTTGAGCTAGCCAGCTTTCAGCTAAATAACATGTGGCAATTCAGCCCAGTCAGGAAAAAAAGTTTCTACATCCTCCTTGGTCATCAGGCAGCGATAACAAGAAGCAGTAATAAAGGATGTAATGTTTAATGCATCCTAGAAAACTTTGAGTCTTTGTCCCCCCACAGCTGGAACTTGAGATACAAGAAAACTGTGGCTACCACTGGCTGACACTGTATTAGTGCTGCTTGCAGACGTATTGCATGTAGTGCCTCAGATACCACATGCACATGGGACTGACAGCCCAGGGCCAGACTAGATCATGATGCGTGGTGGTTGTGGCTCTGCAATAGTCTGTGCAGTAGTCAGCTGGTTAAGTACATATCACTTCTTTAGGAGATGCCTGCATCTGAGCTGGGTGCTACTGTTGCCCTTGCAGAGATGCAGTCAGTGGCCAATGGAGCTGAAATCTGAGGTAGGTCAGTGAGTTACCCCCTAACAAAGTCAGTGCCTCTTGGTTGACTTCAGGGGAAACCCCGGTGTCTGAGCTGGAGACATTACTGAGAGGCCAGGTTAATCTCACCCCTTGTGAAGGATTTAGGGTGTTCTCATTTGTGAAGATGAAGAGGTGAGCTGGGGTGTCTGCAGACATTCCCCAGCTTGAGGGTTGCTAATATGAATCAGGAGCCATTAACGGACACCTACAGTATGTGTTGTCTTCCATAATACCACATGCACCTTTGGCATCATTTTAAGACGTGGATGCATTTCCCTTTGGTGTTCTCTGTATATAGGAGAAAGAGACTAAAACACCTTATTAGAGATCATGTGAAAGCAAGTGTCTCTCAAGGCACCTGGAAATACATAATATCTTAGTGCTACTCTGTTAAAGGCCTTGAATACCCTGGCTGGCAGCTATGGAGAAGTCAGTAAAGGCGGGGCAACCCTTTGGATTTTCCATATGGTCATATTCCTCTATGGTGATGCTGACTTGGCCCCAGCCGAGCTGCAACAGCCTCTGTGAACTGTGGCTAAAGTTCAGGGATAGTAAATGTGTGTCTCATAACCATTCCTTCCCAGGCAGGAGCTCAGTCTCTCTGGAAATACTATAAACAGTGAAAACACACAAAAGTTATTGAAAGAGTCAGAAAAGGTACTGAGAGTGTTTTCCTCTCTTTTGGGATAAATAAAGGTGATCAGTATCAAAACATAAATTCTCCAGAACTATGCCACGCAATGAAAGCAGAACCAAGCATGAAGGTAAGCACCTTCATTTTGCTCTGTTCTTATTTGGGGTAAACTGCCTCTAAAAATTACTCTTTCACAGTGCTGGCTTCTTGTGACGTGAATTTGTCTGCACTGTGCATTTGCACCCAAACCAATTGCTGTGGATCTGTTTGTGATGCTGTCCTGGCAGGGTTCATATCATTGCACGTGGTGAGGATCTCCTCCTCCTCAGTTCATTGTCAATCTGTGCCCGTCTTCCCTGGTACCTAGCCACCAAGCAAAGCCCAAGGGGAAGCTCCAGCTGAGCTTCCAGTGGCATCAAAACCTTGGTGCCATGTCCCAGAGGTGGACATGGCTGCTTGGTGTGGAGCATGGCTATTGGGTTTGCTCCAGTGTGGCCTGACGGGAAGGCTTGGATGTGCTAGACACTCTGGTTTGCATGTCTTCACTCTGATTTTTTTAATGAACAAAGGAATTTGTTAGAGTTTTCTGACTTCCTCCTCTCCTGGGACTTGTAGCCCTAACAACTAGGATGGAGATATAGATCTGATTAACACAAACCAATCTGCTAAGAGAAAGTGAACGAAAGGCATTAGCATCAAATGAGGGAATTTGCCTTTCTGTGATACTGATCCTCTTAAGTATTTGTTTCCCTTCCACACCTGAATCTGATCATCTAATTTGTCTCCTGTTGAATCATTTCTAATTGAGATCTCTCCCCATTCTGATTGTCTCTTTCTTGTGGAAGAAGAACAACCTTTGGAGCTCTTCCTACCAGGCACATTGGCCCAGGTTGGAGATGGCCGCAGTCCAAGAATTTGTTTTGGAGCAGGCTGTTGTTCTGGTGTAGATCTGGTTAGGAATATCCCTGACTGGCTGATGAACAATCTCCCATTAGCATGGGCTTTGCCACAGTGATTACATTTTCAGCTAGGAGAAATCGCTGCTTCTTCTCGGGTGGCATAACAGCCCATGCTCACCCTTTGTGAACTTCTCCTGTTGGTGAGCTAGGAGGGGAAATGGAACCTTCCCCATTTTTTCCCACACAGAACTGGATCTGAATACCTAGTTTTTCCCTGCTGAAGGAGGGTTTGGCCCTCTTATGGAGTGGATGTGTAGAAAATTGCCTCCTTGAGTCGCTGGGCCAAGTGGACATCTTTCTTTCTCATAAAAAGTGCACCTGTTTTAGGGGTTTTCTCAATTTGGTAAATTAAAAAAAAAATCACCATGATTACATATGCTGCATGGCAATGACCTAGTATTTTTATTAATATGCCTCCCTCCCCACACTGCCAGCCCAGGTCTGAACTCTTAAAGGAGAAGTCCCTCTGGTGCTACTCATGCTGGATCCATTGGTGTCCCAGCTCTTTTGTGTGTCTCAGGAACATGAAAAAGACTAAGAAAATCACAGCATCTTGGATCCAAACCAAAAATTTCTGAGGTTCCATAGTTTCTAGTTTAAACTTTGTCTTTCCAATTTCGTGTTTCCTTGTTGCAAGCGTAATGGAAGTTTCTTGGAGCCAAGTTTTGACAGAGGTTCAAACTGATGAAAAATCTTATGATGAAGTGATGTTTTATTGTTAGTGTAGAAAAAAAAGTGGAATGAGTTTTATCTAACCTTAGACATTGAACGCTTAAGGTCTAATCCAAGACTGTTGTCTACCATTCCTGTATACCAACAGAGGCAGAAGCATCTCCAGAGGGCAGGTCTTCCTGTCTTAGGAAAAATGTCTAAGACACAAAGGCAAGCTGTTCTTTGGAAGCACCTATTTCTCTCCATTGACTACACAGGTGCTTAAATGAATAATTTAAACTGGGTGCAAGTTTATACCAGTGAGGGTAGGGGAGACAAAACAGTCTTTCATGCTGTCTTCCAGTGTCACAACATAATTGTTGGGTTTTGATATTTTGTATGAAATTTGCAATAGAATTGTGGATATTATTCACTGTTCTGTGCTGTGAGGAGGTCAACCTTTGGATGGTTAAGGACAAAATATTCTATCTTACTGTAAGCTGCTTGCAGTGGTGACCACACCAGTGTCCTTTCTAGACCTTTATTCATAACATTTCTTTGGCACAATCAAAATGAGTCTGCATATCTCATGCCTAAGAAGAAGCCTTTCCCTTGTAGTAATATTTAATACTTCAAATGTAATAGGTTCATTTAAAGACCTTATTAAAAAACACTGTTTTGTTAGTCTATCGGATTGTCTGAAGATGATGAGGCCCTCTACATAGTCACTCACTAGTATGACATGGAGCAAGAGCTTATATACAAATTAATGTGGTTCAAACAGGAACTCATCTCCCCGATCTCCAGGTAAAACTCCCCATCAGTCACAACTGGATCCTGAACAGGGAATAACATCAGTCAGGCACAATGATGACCTAGTTGTCCTAGCAAAGCCCCACGCTTTTTGATTTCATCTGCTGTTAACAAAACCTTTCCCATTTACAAAGCCTTTCCCATTTGTATCCCGTCACTGCTGAAATAGTAATAACCAAACAGGAGTTTGGGTTTTGATTCTTCTCAGTCCTGAACTTTACATGGTCATTTACTCTGATGCAAATTAATGTGGACCCTGCTGCCGTGAGCAGAGATCCTGCTGCAGCCAGCTGCAGGCCTAAGATGCAAGGATGCTAAGAAGAGATAGTAACTTTTATTAGACTGACTGATACAATTGGAAGCACAGACAAGCTTTGCAGCTCAGAGCCCATTCATTAGTCTGAAAGTTTGTACCCTTTTCTAATTTTATGTGGTTAAAACATCACAGACAATGCTAAGTAAGTACAAGCCAAAGAGAGCAGAACCTTCATATTTCTAAACAAGTGGACAAATCTTAAGATGTTTGTATTTTCCCCAAGGTTTCAGTACTGCTTCAAGCCAGAGGGATTCATACCCTTCTTCTGGAGTCTGTCGGCACATTCTTTACCTATAACAGGGGATGATGACAGTGGCCAGCTTTTATGAAGAGCTTGGAGACTACCAATGTAAACATACCCTGGAAGCAGGATGTCTCAGTGCTATTATTAGTATTTCATAAACTCAATATTTGTCCATCCCATCACTCCAGACATGTCTGTCACCTTTTTATAAGGGATCTGCTCTAGCCTCCGAAGACCATCAACTGCCCTCACATTTTTGCTTCCACCACATCTCACATCAAAGGATCACATGCTGTGGGAAAAGCATCTGCCTAATTTAGATTGTCCTAATAACCTGACGGATGGTTTCACTCTTGTCCACTAATTCTTTTATTTGAGGAAAAATGAATACTGGTTCTCTGTTCATTAAACCTTCCACTTCAGGCATGATTAGACATCTAGCACCTCAACCGAGCTTTTATATTCTGTCTCCTTTGTTTCTGGATAGACTGGATCCATAATTTATTATCCTTAGTGTCCTCCACTGTATATTTTCCACTTTTAGCATCTCTTTTTTTGAGACAGAGAAATGCACTAGGGGTGCACCATGTAGTTTATGTGGCAATGTGATAATATTTTACATTTTGTAATTGATTCCTTCCTAATAATTCCCAGTACTGATGTAGCCCTTTTGGCCAAGCACTCAACCAATGCTGTATTTCTTTTTAACACAGAATATGTGGTGATGAGATAGATGGCGGTACAATGACCATCCAGAAAGCCATACAACTTCTGTGCTCCTCTGATGACAAATACCAGGCCATGGGTGCTTACTACCTCCAGCACACCTGCTTCCAGGATGAGTCTGCCAAGCAAGAGGTGAGCAAACTCCTTCAGAGCTCTGCTGTCACACTGGATGTGATGCCACACGAGGTGGCTGAAACTGGTTTTCCTCAGTACCAAGGATCCATAGCTCCCCTTGATTTTTATGATGGAGCCTTATACCTCATTAGTTACACTCAGGAATTAATTAAGTAGATTTTTCAACTATTAGTGGCCACTTTCTGTTAACAGTGATACGGAAGCAACCATCCAGATGCAGTGTCTTCTTCTGGATGCAATTGTACCTGGTTCCACATGAATCTTTTGCTATCTCAGACCTGCAGTGTCAGAGCCACACAAAATTGCCCTAAATCCCACTGTGATCTTCACTGTGCATTGCTCAGTGACATTTCAGCCATTTCAGCCATCTAAGCCAATCGGTTAATTAGTGCTCATGTACAAAAATATTTGACCAAACAGAAGCCTTTCTTATAGTGCAGCATATTTTTCTTATGCTCTTACTCTCCGATTACTAAATTTATGCCACCGTGCAGCAAAGGAGTCACTCTCAAGGATGGATCAGCTGTCAAAAAAGTTTAGCCCCACCCTGGCACGTTTGCATGCCATGCAAACATGGGTTTATCAAAATTCCATCCCTATAGAGGTGGTTTTCCATTTCCTGGCACAATAGTGGAGCTGGACATGCTGGCACAGTGTGGGGATGTACCTCTGTGCTCTTGCTGTGGCTGAACTGGGTGCAGATACCCCAGCCCACATTACAGTCACAAATTGTGGGGTGGCCACACCCTTTGTTACCGTTGAAAACACCCTCTGAGCGCTGGCCTGTCCCATTGCTTCCCAGAAAGATGTGTCAGAGCAGGTATGTGAGTCATCTGAGCACACGCTTGTTTTCTTTCCTCTCTAAAAGGTGCTCATTCATTTTCTATTGTCAGCAAATCTCCAGCTGATGGGTTGGTTTGTGCCAGGATGGGCTCCATGTGGGGTTGTGTCCCCGGGAGACCTGGTACAGAGGACATCCTGAGTGGGAACCCTCATCATTTTGGAGAGCTCAGCTGGAGCTGTCTTCAAACCTCCCTGGCATGAGTGTGGTGTCCTGCAGGTCAGGGTTCACACCCTTTCTGGTGCTGCCCCTGTTGAGTGCTGGAATATGGCCCAGTACTGCTCCTGGCTGACCTCGAGGGTGTTTACACTGTACTGTGACTATCCCTCTAAGCTCAGCCTGTGATTTCAGGATGCAGATAAATTACCATATCATGTCATTATATTGCTACAAGTGTCCTCTACAGATAGGCAGAGCAACATTTTCACCTGATGCAAACTAATGGAGGTGGGTGAAAGTTTGTGGGAGCAAACACATTTACATCAGCAAAGGACTCGGTCCATGGCCATTACTCATAGACATCCACATCTAGAGTTTAAGCTTCAACCTCAAGGCCAGCACCTTCATGCTCATGACCTATGGCCTGAACCAGACATGCCATCTGCAAGCTCTAGCCATCCTTTACTGCCAGGTCTGAGTATGTGTCATGTTGACTCCTTGCATTGCCGTGACAGTTCTCGTTGTCCCTGTCCCAGCAATGCTCTGCACACCATCCTGATGGCAGGATGTCTTTCCTGATACAGGTCTATCGGCTGGGGGGAATCGCCAAGCTCGTTGAGCTGCTCCGCAGCACAAACCAGAATGTACAGCGAGCAGCAGCTGGAGCCCTCCGAAATTTGGTCTTCAAGAATCCAACCAACAAGATAGAAACCCGGCGGCAGAATGGGATAAGGGAGTGCGTGAGCCTCCTACGGAGGACAGGGAACACTGAAATTCAGAAACAACTGACAGGTACACAGCAGACTGCTCAGCCCTCAGCAAGGATCATGCTCCTCCCTGCCTGTGGTCTGTGTTGCTCCAGCACACAAAGGCCCAGTAGCCATGGTGCTGCCATACCACAAAAGGGGTATATTATGCTCCTGTCACACCAAATGGCAACCTAAAACAGAAGGCAGAGGAGGTCTTGGCCCTTTCATGTCCCATAAGGGTTCTTCACATCATAAGTGCCCACTGGGGAAGCACCTGCCCCAGGTTTCCCCCCACAGCTGTGGTCACCCTGTCATTCCCATGCCTTTCTGTACCCCGTGCTGTTCCCAGGGAAGGCCAAGGGAGCTGGCATTCTGAATATGGCTGAGCAGGTTATCTCACTGGTGTCTCGCCTTTTCTTGATGGATTGACATGAGTTTGTTGGTACAGGTCACCCTCAGCTGTGACTGAGGTCTTGTGAGCAAGCCTTTATGAGATGCCTTCCCCCTGCAACCTAATGGCAATAAACACCAATTTTGGGAGGAGGGAGGATGCTTAGATGCCCACCTCCACATGATACCATGCTCCTGGTGCCCATCCTGCCTGTCTCCCATAGGGATGGACAGAGACTACGGTTTAGGGCAGCCTCTTCACCATTAGTTCAAAGAGGGATGGAATGAAGACGGACTTTGGGGCTGGAATTCACTCTGACCTAAAGAAAGTTTCTAATGCATGGTGACCCTCTGCTTGAGCTTGTCTCCCACCTCCTTCCTAGGACTGCTCTGGAACCTCTCCTCCACCGATGAATTAAAAGAAGAGTTGATACAGGAGGCCCTCCCTGTCTTGACAGACTGTGTTATCATCCCTTTCTCTGGCTGGTCTGATGGCAGCTGCAATAGGACAAGAGAAATTATTGACCCAGAAGTATTCTTCAATGCTACAGGGTGTTTGAGGTGGGTCATCAAGCAGGGATTTACTGTAGCTTGTATCTGTTGACAAAAGCTGAATCTGTCTAAATCCTCTTACAATAAGCTAAAGACATGCTTACTGCAATTGTATTAACAAAAAATTCTCCTTGAGAAAGTTTTCCTGACTAAGGGAAGGTGCAGAAAAAATTACATGTAAAATATTTTTCTTGGTAGCTTTTTTCTTTTTTTTTTTTAAATAAGTTTGTTCTTGCTAAGTCTCTGCTCAAAAAAATCTAAGTTGCTTTGTCACAGGACAGCTGCAATACTGAAACTTGACAGTGTTCAGCTCAGACCAGGAAACTTGACACTTTTCACCCTTAGATTTTTGAGGCTTCCAAGGAAAATTTTGGTTGCTAGAAAACAAACTGGTTTTAGGTGACAAAAAGACAGAATCCTCTACATGGGGAAAACTAGCATTTTCCCACTGATTTTAATAACTGTTTTAGTACAGAGCAGTCCCATTGCCCTGGACTTTTCCTGGATCATTCTGTCAGACGGGTCAGCTACAAAACAGGAGGTGCAGATTGAGACCAGAGTAGTTTATTTTTTTCACAGGAAAGCCAAAGACCTTTTGTAGAGGATATTTGCCCTGACTTGCTGTTTCTCCTACCACCCTCCTCCACTTGGATGCAAGCTCCTTGTCTCACTGGGAACAAGTGGGGGAAAAAAAATACCCTGTATAATTAGGTACTTTCATCAACTGAAGCTCTCCCTGAGGGAGTGCAGCGCCAACCACACCCTTACCAGACATGCAGCTAGTAGGAGCTGTATCTGCTTATGAAACGAAATGGGTGAATACGGTAGGGGCCTTTTGAGACATGATACTATCATGTTCTGTGGCTGGGAACCGTGTCTGAAAGATAGCGCGTGCTGCTCCCTTCCCTGTCTTGGAAGACACCTTCCCCATGCACTTGCACATTGGGATGCGTAGTGTATGTTGCATATGAGGTGCTCCATTTTTAAGACCATCTCAATGCACAAATGCCACAAAATACCCCATTAAAATGAAGGAAAGGGTATGATGATAGTTTGTGAAAGGAGGTCTCCATGGAGGCCTGTCTCCTGAGACTTATCACAGTCTGTGACAGTAATATCCAACAACCCCAGTGAAGACTGCCAGATGCAGGTCAGCAAGGGAGCTCAAACGGCTGGGGGGAGCAGGACTGGGGAGCAAGCCAAGTAAGGAAAGCAGGGTGGCTGGGTCCAGAGCCCCTGCTCCGAGGGGTGAGCCTGGATTGCTCTGACTCACTGCCCTGCCACATCATAATGCAGAGATGAGAACAGCCTTGGGTTTGCTCTGGGCTCGAGCCATTGCTGCTCAAGCATTTCTGGATTGCAGATGAATGCATGTTAATGAGGAGGCTGCAAATCACAGTGAACATCAAATCCAGTCCTGGAACGCCTGGAGTGAATATCTCACAACGACTGCCAACCTCTCTTTGTTTTTCATTTGCAAGCTACAAGGCAATAAAACAGGGAAGAAAAAAAAAAAAAACACAACAAAACAACAAAACCCATTTCCTGTTACTGGAAAAACTCCCCTGTCCTGGCAGCAATCAGTGCTCAGGAATACATTACAACATTACAAACTGGTCAGTCCCTCTGGTCAGAACGATTGCTGCTCTTCAGCATCTCTGCCTCCATTTCCCATGCAAATGTTGCTGTTGACCCTGCATAGCTCCTTATGCAGGGTCAACAACCTTATGCACCTTCCTGATTTTCACAATAGTCCCAGATGGTCTTTATTCAGTCTACTCTTTGGAAACACCTCCAAGGAGGCAATGAGTCTGTGTAATGTCACATGCATAGCCTCTAAGGCAAAATATTGCTGATAGTTACTTTCACTAAGAGGATGTCTTCTATGCAGAGCTCCTTAACAGGACATTTTCCTAGATGAAATCAATCCTAAAGAGCAACAAGAGAGCTATGCACCAGTGCAGTCCTACAAAAGGCCTCCAAAATGAGAGCAGTACACCAGCCTTGCTGAATCTACAAAAATATCCTTAAATTCAATTACAGCTGTAGCCAGAGTAGAGCCCATAGAGACTAGTAAGTGAACCCAACTAATACTCTCTCCTCCTTCTCTCCTGACATGCTCTGCAATGGCTTTCTTCAGAAACTTGAGTTCTGCAGACATGGGGCGACAGACCATGAGGAATTACCCTGGCTTGATCGATTCAGTCATGACTTACGCCCAGAACTGTGTGGCTTCTAATCGACCTGATGATAAGGTACCAGATGCTCACCCCGAGCTGTTTGCTAGAGTTCAGCCACATAGTTAATAATTGCAACTTTGGGAATATCTCCAAATCCTTTTCAAACAAACACAGGAGGGGACTGGACTCTTTGAGGCTGCTCTTTTCCTTCCAGATCCCATGTGATCTGTTGTAGGATTGCAAGTTCTCTGTGCTCTGGGCCTGAAGTAGAGGTGGGTTTTACATTTTCCCTTTACCAAACACAGAGACACAGCAAAATATTTTGGCTCCTGAGCCCCCAATATACTTTCCTCCCTTCCCCTCCCACCTTGGGATCCTTCCAGCATCTTAACCTCCATCTCTTGCTCTTCCCACCACCACATCTCTCCATCCAGCAGGACTCAAGTATATGGACCCCAGATTGGCATCACATTCAGCAGGAAGCCAGGAGCTGCCAGTCCCCTAACTGTGACTCTGATTGCTATGTGTAAACAGCACTTACCTTGGACAAAATAGTGTTTGTAGCCACATTTTCGGGAGTTCAACACCTGTGATACTAGCCAGACACCCTAAAGTCCTCAATGCCCAGCAAAGTACCAAAATTTTTTCAAATGAGCTCAGGATTGAGCAAATCCTCTTTTGGGGACAGCTTTTGCAAGAAGATCAGTTTCAGCAGCACATACTGAACACAGCTCTTTAGAAATGTAACCACATGTTTTGGTGTTGGTTACAGGTATCTAGTGAAAATTCTCCCTTGCTCTACCTTGGGCACTCTGACCTCCAGGTAAAGGAGGCTTAAAAACCTGTTCTTCATAAAAAGTGTCCCCTAATCTGTACCTGTGACTTGGATAAAGTCATTGGAAGTGGACTATGGCAAGAGGAAGACCTTCAAGAGTTGGCATTTCATAGTGGGCAGTTTGCTATAACCACCCTCTGCACTCTCTTTTCCTGTTTATCAACTTGTCTGTGACAGTGGGACCTAACAAGGCTCACTGAGTCAGCTCACTGAGATCCACAATATAACATTTGGGCTACGTGGCCTTCATTCATGTCTAGTCTACCTCCTTCTACCTTCCCGTCCATTGCTACCTTAAGCAGGGTCAGGAGCTTATGTTGTATAACTGCTAAAAAGCTAATTATGGCATGGTATATATGCTCTCCATAGCTATAGCAATGTGCTGCTCCATATTTTTCTGCCTAATGTGATGCTTGCATTTTTATTTTGGGGGTGATTTCAGTCTGTGGAGAATTGCATCTGCATCCTGCACAACCTTTCCTACCGCCTGGATGCTGAAGTTCCCAACAAATACACCCAACTGAACCACATGGCCAGGAGCGTTTATATGGACAAAACTCTCACAGGCTGTTTCAACAGCAGAAGTGGTAAAATGGAGGTAAGATGTGCCGCAGAGGCTTGGAAATGTGATATTCAGCCCCAGGCAGGGGCTGCAAGTGAAGAGCAGGATCTGAGCTTCCAGTTTCTTACCTCTTTGTAGAATGATGAGTATGGTGTCCCCCTTCCCGAGGAGGATTTTAAACCCAAAGGACCCAGCTGGCTCTACCACTCCGATGCCATCCGCACCTATCTGTCCCTGATGGATCAGAGCAAGAAGGATGCCACCCTGGAAGCTTGTGCTGGAGCTCTGCAAAACCTCACTGCGAGCCGAGGGCTGGTAAGCACTCTTCTCTCTTCTGCATACACGCAGCCAAACGTGTCAGCACTTTACAGTAATCAGAAAGGAAAATGTCCTCCTTAAACTTCAGGGCACTATTGCAAGTCTTTCCACAGTGGATGCTCCAGCTGAGGTATTTATTAATGCCAAAAATAGGGTCTCATGGGGGGCTATAATCAGTATCCCAACGGTCTATCCCAGATCCCTACACTGGGATTCCAGGTTTCCCCAGTCTGATGGTCATACTACCAGCATCTACTGGTATTGGCACCTGCCATCCAGGACACCAGTGAGGATGTGCCCAGATGTGCACATGTTGACAGATGTCATTAAAGGAGAGAGAAAGGATGTGCATGCACCACTACCTGTGTGTGTTTTTTTAAGTGGGAGGTGGCTCTAATAACAGGGTGGATTGTGCTGTGGATTGTGGCTTGTCCTCACATCACAGTTGCTTGTAAAATAGCTCTGACAGATGTCCTAACCCATAGGTATGGCAGTGTGGAGGTGACAGGGGCTGCATGACACTGTGGGTATTGCGGGAGCTAGGGCATGGTGAGGGACACGTCACGACAGCAGCTCTGCTGTGCCCAGTTTTGCTACTGTGGGCATGTCCTTGCAGGCTGCGTTCACGTGGACAAACCTCAACTTGTCTGTTTGTGTCAAACTTCATCAATTCCAATTTAAATAAGATGGCTAGGGAGATAAAGAGATAATTATTTCATACGTAGGAGAGGCGTGTCACGTGTGCGAAGCGTTCCACCCAGAAACACGGAGTGACTCACGAAAGGAGCCTTTGCTGCTAGGACAGCATTAACCTGCCAGCTCTGATCTGCTGGGAGCTTTTGTTACGAGTCTGTCAATGTGAAATACTTTGGGAACTTTTTTTTTGGCTGTTTAACTAAGCGGTGCCACTAACAACAAGGTGGAGAGAGACTGTCACAGTATGGGTAGAGCTGATCAGAGAAATGGGGCTGGAGCTATGTGCTCCATGGAAATAAAAAGCCTTTCAGTAGTCAACATCATTACACAAGAATGTCTTTTGGGAAGGCGGGAAGAAAACAAACAAAAACCAGCTCTGACAGTGTTGAAGTAACTTATTTCAGCCTTCTGGTTGGAATTTGCCTGGATGTGCAGAAGTGGCTTCTCCTTTCCAGGGTCTTATTCCATCTCAGAGCTAGAGCTGTGGTGGGTTGCTGGGTTTGCTGTCACCTGAAGGAAAAGGAAGCAGAGGACAAGCTTACAAAGCTTACTGTAATCTTTTAGCTTATAGAGGATGGCTCCAAATCTCTTCTCAGACTCCACTTTACACATCCCAGTCCTGTTGGTGTGAAACTGTAACATGGCACATGTGCCTCCTGGAGCATAGGAGGGAAACTGGGTCTCATCCCACTGGAAGAGGGTTGTCTTCCAGCCCATTCTCTCCATTCTCATGTCACTGTTGATGGACACTGATGGCGACAATCTCCAGCAGCCTTTCTGGTGGGGCAGTAGCTGAGAAGTTCAGTTTAAACTCTATCAATAAGAGGGCAATTTATTAAGGGTATGTGCTTCAATGTCCATGAACACTCATCTGTATTGGCTACATCCTGAGATCTTCTAGATTTACATAAGCAAACATGAGATCAGGATCCAAGAAGAGTAATTTTGGTCTTCAGATTGTTTTTTAAAGGTATCCATTAGCTGTTCCTATTCCACCACAGCCTATTACTTGCATGGCAGAGAGCTGCAAGGGTGTTGAGATGGGCAAGGGAAACATGGACATGGGGGTGAAACTTCAGCTTTTGGGAATATCGGTTGGGTAAGCATCTGTCCCCACTCAGGCTCCAGAAAGAGGACAGAAGTACCAGTTGTATCGCAGAAGATGAGAGGCTGACTTTGCAAATGTCTGTGAAGAGGGGAAAATGACAAAGTAAGTGGGACTATGGTAGCAGAAGAAGGTATTATACAGATGCTTATTTTATAGTGTAGTCATGTTTGTCTGGCCCCATACATCATTCCAGTTGTATCCTCCTGGCTATAGAAGTCATGAGACATCTCTGTTCGGTCTCCTAGATGTCCAATGCAATGAGCCAATTGATTGGTTTGAAGGAAAAAGGTTTGCCTCGCATAGCACGGCTCCTCCAGTCCAACAGCTCTGAAGTTGTCCGGTCTGGGGCTTCTTTGTTGAGCAACATGTCCCGGCATCCTGTTCTCCACAAAACCATGGGTAAGTAATTTCCACCACAGTGGATTCCAGAACAATGTCTAGTTTCTAACTCTCTAATATCTGCCCATCTTGCTTTGTAAACCCCATAATAGGACTCCAAAATTGGTGCAAAGCAGTGTCATTTCTTGTGGTCAAAAGGACAGTTGCAGGTGATATCTGCAGGCTTAATTAACAAAATGTGTCCTATTTCAAAGTCTCTACAAGCATGTGGTATGCTTTATAGACAATGACAAATCTGCAGGATCATAAGGATGATAGTGTTTTGGGAACTGAGTTGGACTTGACTACCTGTGACCAACATCGTTGCCCTTCCAGAGGCCTGCAGCACTTATTTTGTCTCTGAAAATCAAGTGATTACTATTATGCCACTACTGTCCAACGTTATTAGTGTCTCCTTCCAGAGATAACACTGCATTCTTGCATTGAATAGTGCTAACACAAATAGTATTATTCACTTGTGCTAGGTTTTATTTAAATGTTGATTGGAACATTCCACCTCTTTAGCTCACCAGGTGCTCCCAGATGTATCACGTCTCCTGTCATTCCAGTCTGGAAATACCAACAGCTATGGCGAGATCATGACATCAGCTTGTTACACTCTGAGGAACCTCATCATGTCCAACCCACACCTGGGAAAGTCTTACTTGACAAGCAACATGCTAAATAATGTAGTAAGCCTGTGCCGAAATGGGTGAGTTTGGGGCAGAAGGCACGGAGAGGGTCATACGTAGACGTTTTTGAGCCCATATACTCTGTGCAAAGCCAGATTAACCCCAGAGCCTTCTCCACACCCTTCAGAGCCATAGTAAAGCATTATTCTTTTCCTGTGCTTGTAAATTGAGAGCCAAAAAAAATCAAGCATGTTGATAGATAGAAATCCTCAGCACTGGTTTCTTGGAAACAGGCATGAGCCATCCAGGGTGGGGTTTGTAAAGGGGCCTCAGGAAATTTGCTGGTTGAATTTTAAGAAATCCTAAAAAGAACTGAAGCACCAACATCTTAAACCCTTTTAAAAATCCCAGCCCTCAAAACAGGAGATATTAGTATGCAGCCTGACTGCCTAGCACCTGGGCTTCCCACTCACGGCTTCCTGCAAACCTTATCATGAAGGTGAGGTCTGAGATTCAAGCACTGCTGATACATTGGGGTTGTGCTTAGCTTTAACGTTCAGATTTGTTCATCTTTCTGTTGAAACATCCACCTCAAGTGGCAAAGATGCAGCTGTGATGATACATATATATATGTACCTCCCCTGGTCTACTCACATATATTTTAGAACTGAGCAATCTTAATGTATTTTACCACTTTCTCTTTTAGGACTTGGTTTGAGTTTTGGTGGTAGTAATTCTGTCCTGCTTGTTATCCATACTCCCTACAGCCCTGTGCAAAAGCTTGTCAACCTTTGCCCACCTGTATGTTCATTTCTGGCCAAACTGGTGTTAAATTTACATGATCTTTGACCACGTATTCTCCTTCCTAGACTTTCATCTTTCCTATCATGTCCTTGTTTTAAAATACCTTATACAAATAACCTATTGTTTTCTGTTGTGAAAAGACATTTGCATGCCTTTTCCATCATCCTTTGATAAACCACTTACAATCCATCACTTGTTTCATGGCAGCAGAGGGACTCAGTCATTAGAAGTGGCTTCCTTGTTTAGGTTGAATCTCAGCCAATGAACATCCGTCAGTTTGCTGCTTTTATATGCTTCCACTTCTACAACAAGCCCAATTAACATGAAACCCATCCCTCTTCTAAGTCTTCATTGTTTTGAATAGTATTTACTTCTGCCTATAGTCCCTCTTTGGATCCCTCAGACCAGTTGTCAGCTAATTTACTACTTCAGCAAAGTGTTGCACAACTGGGGTTGTGTGTACCTTAATTGTCTTGACTGCTTTGTGTGATGAGCTTTGTTTGCAATGACTCACTAAACTGTGAGGAGTTACTAAACTCTGGGGATGTGTTCAGTGTGTTCCTTCTGTCTGTATCACAAATTCCTTCTGAGAAACTCCCCAGTTCTTACAATGTCCAAAACCTGAATTGTTCCTTTTCCTCCATTAATCATTTCTGTCCCCAAAGGTTTTTATGCTCTCCATTTTTTAGAAAAAATTACAATTTACACCCAGGACTAATCTTAACTTATTCGAGCCATATCATTTCAGGCTGTTCCCATGGAGCACATGTGAAAGAGACCTCCCCTCTAGTGAATCGGACACTTGCTAGTTCACAAGTTATCTAACTTTTCCCACTTTCCTGCGTAGCCTGTGAAGATAAACAAGAAATTTTAGGGTTGGATTTGTCTAGTCCTACATCAGAAAGAGCCTCACCCACTCCCTGATGGTAATAACTAGATCCAACATCTCTACTGGGGGCTGTTACCTAGGTTGGATGCAGACCCCATGCTCCCCACACTGATGCTGAATGTGGTGAGTCCCACGCTATCAACCTCCTCCATCCCAGCACCACAGCCAGCAGAAATAGAGAACAGACGAGGTCTCAGTGGTGACCAAATCACCATGGAGAACACCATGCCATGTTGCACCTTGTTAGTATTTTGCAGAGTTTTCTCTGTTAATCTGCCTCAGTTTCCCTGTGGACACGCCTCCTTCACCTCCAGCACTGGTGTTGGTTTGGTTGGTGTGTCTGCATAGTGCCTCCCTGGCATATGTTTCTTCTGCCACCCAACAAATCTTTACCTATATTTCTGAACTGGTCTCTCATTGCATTTGAAGCTGTAAATCATTTGCTTAACATGCTCAAACAATTTTATATTCAAATTTTAGTAAGAGCTTCCAGGTTACAGACAAGTAAGTTATGGAAGTTTTCCTCTCCTGTGTTCTTCTCAAATGCCAGCCAGTACTCCTTAAAGCTGAGATCTCTTTTTCTTGATGTTTCTTGTAGCTGTATTCTGAGTGAAAGGCATAAATGGTTCAGCAGTTTATCTGATAGCTGTGGTTTCTTCTCCTTCCTGGAGCATCCCAATTAAATAATTGTCTCCATCTCCTGCATATTACCTCATCTATGACACAGGCATCATAGTGGTGATGGTGTTCGTTCACTCTTTGTTATGTTTAATCCAAGTTGCCAAAATATTGAATATTACCTTCTCTTTTTGTTGGTGTTTCTGAAAAATCAAGCTACTCATACTAATTTATTGTGATGTCTGATGACCTTTTCATCTTTGCTCTCCAACTGTCTGAAAAATATTCTAGTGCTCATTTTCAAGTGACAGTATTTCACTAATAAAATTATAATTTTTCCCAGTAATTCTACTGGCTGCACTAAAAGCTTTTCTCCAAAATCTCTTTCCGTACTTTAGAGCATCAGATTTGCAGTTCATGTCACAATCCCTTTATCACTGATTTGTTTCAGTTTCTCTTTGTTCATTCACTTTTCACACCTTTTCTATTGTACAATTTAATTCTGCAGTTTCTTTCATTGATTCTTTTCTGTGGAAGAGAGTTCTTCTCATCCACACATATCCAATTTCCCATTTCTTCCAAAGATTGCACCCTGATATCAATTTTATAAATTTAAGACATCCTGAAGAAATCCTTCTTCCAGGAATTCCTTGGCATGTCCTCTGACATACATAAGGTTCTTGATATTTTTGTCCTTTGAGGAAACATTATCTTCCCCCATTATTGGATATGCATGTACAAAATCTTTGTCTTTTTTGCTGCCCTCGTGCTTACCTCCCTGCCCCACCACCTCCTTCTGATCAGCTTCTTGTTTGTGTTTCACTGAGTCAATAGTTTTTTGGATGACTGCTGCCACTGCCACCAGTGGACACCTTCCTTGCTGTCTTTCAACAAATTTTTACAAGTAATTCTATTTGTAAAAAACAGGCTGTCCTTAAAATCAAATTTGATTTTCAGGCAACTTGTTTTTAAGAAAGTTTTTCCCCAAATCATCTGTCCTTGATATTCTGCTCCATGTTATACACTGCTATAGTCACACTATTCCCAGCACTTTTGTTTAGGATATGCTGCTTTACATAATGAAATTGTTGTCACAGCTCCATCACTTCATGTTTAATCTTTTTATACGTAAATAGTAGCGGTAGATGCTCTATGAAACAGAATCAGTATCAATCCTTCAAATTAAGAGTGGAGAAATTCTTTTGTCTGAATTTGTAGATGGCTCAGATACCAGATGCTGGTAACTTTGGTTTGAAAAGAAAAAATCTTTCGAGGTGTGCTCTGAAGATATAATGGCAAAAAGTATGTATTTGGCATCATTAGAAGCAAATTATAAAAAAAAAAAAGAAAATTACTCTAGCTTAGAAAGAGAAACAACATGAAACAATGTATCCTTGAAAGAGTGTTCAGGACATGTACTGACCATCTAATCATAGATACTTTGGGGTTTATTGTTTTTTAATGGCTTTGCAGCCACGAACAACATTTCAGCCACAAAATTTTTTTAAACATCGTCATTCTGGTGACAGGGCATAGGATGCTTATAACCAGAGAAGTGATTTTGCAATAAAACCTAGTTCTTCCGTCCCAAAACTTTGCTCAAGAATTTCTGATTGTCTGCAGCTCTCCCACTCCTTCACACAATACCAATGTGTATAAGCTGCGCAATCCCTTTGGAATTTAGGACCATGTTAAACTTGCTCATTTCTTTGGTAACAACTGCTCTTTATGTTAGAGAAATACCCCTAAATTTACTGAATGCAGTTACATTCCTGCCCTTTCACATTCAGAGTACAGTGCTTGCAGGTCCCAGATTCTTGATGACCACTGTCAGTCCCATTTCTCGTAGCCTGATGAGGACTGTTTTGAGGACACAATGTTTTGTGAAGCTGTATCATACAGGGAGGGTCCTGAGTCTGGTCTCATACCTCTCCATCACCCTGGCCAAGACAGGCTGGGGCTGTTGCACTGAACCCAGGTCAGGAGTCTCCCACAGACAGGACGAGGTCCAGGAGATCAGGAGCAGTGATAAGAACCAGCAAGGAGGTTTATATCTAGGTTGTTGTATGAAATGTTCCAAAATTATAAAAGGTACTGCTATGACTCATGGTTTCGGAGCTGTTATGTGAGCAAGTATCTATTAACTTGTGCTGAGTAAGGACTTATGGTTGCAGATGTTGTTATTACAAATGCTCCCATCTCCTTCATCCTCACCAGGCAGCACAGAACCCTTTCCTCTGCTACTCTCCTGAGAGATTCGCCCACACTGTCCCTACAGACTCCAGGCAAGGATTGGCACCACTTCCCTTGTCTTTCACTCTCCCAAATTTCACACTCCAGAAACACTCCTTCAGCTCAGTTTAATGCTCGTTTTTCCACTCAAATCCTCCCCTCCTTTTCATTTGTCGTGTTCTGGTCCCAGAGGTTGTTGTCACATAACATTGCTGAGAGGGCAAGGAAGGTTTTATTGACAGTCCTCCATCAAGTCTAGCCAGCTTCCCAGATGGAGATGGGCTTATTTAAAGGCTGTCAGTAATGCATGTGGGTTGCTGCTCTGTGGCCTGCCATAATTCACCAGGGTTGCTTTCATCTTCCCAGCTCCTGTCCAAAAGCAGCCGAAGCTGCTCGCCTCCTCCTGACAGATCTTTGGTCGAACAGGGAGCTCCAGAGTGTGCTCAAGCAGGTAAGGAAAACGCTTCTGCTTTTCGGCTGACAAGAACAACCCTGGTCTTGACTCACTCGCTGAAGACGGTGAGTTTGCAAAGGCCGTGATTCAGCAGTGAGTACGGGCAGTGGCTGGGAGGAGCCCGGGGCACTGGGAGGACCACGATGCTCTCAGCACACGGGCACCCGCCTAAGATCCAAGCAAGAGGCAGCAAGTCACAACTGCAGCTGCTGGGACTGACTTTAGGGACCAAGTGAACAGCAGCGTGTCTGTGTCAGGCAGCTTGCACCCTGGGGAGGATGCTAGCTTAGGTGGGCTCTTCCACGATGCTCCTGGAGTCGACGCTGTCCTGTGTGCATGGCATTGCTCTGTGCTGAGAACAGACCTGGACGTTTTGCACTAGCTTGGGAGATTCCCTTCAATTGCAGTCCATCGTGTAGGATCCAGCGTGTCCCAACAGGTCCCTGGCAAGATTCCTTCTCTCTTTCCCGCCATTTTCTTCTGTGTCCATAATCCTACCCTGTGGTTACATCACCCCTACAGTCAGGGTAATCTTTTAAACCAAGAAGAGGAGTATTTAGGATTTGTTTTCTCCCTGCAACAGAAACTGTGAAAGTACAGAGCCAGACGGGGCACTGAGCCAGCTTCCAGCTCCCAGTGGCTTTCTTTGAACAAGCTGGGTTTTTCCAACTCAACAGCAGCAGCACCTGCAGAGAGTAAAGGGCCAAATTAAAGAGAAGGAGTAACATCCACAAAGGGGAGTACCCTGGGGGCAGGAAGGTAGAGAGTACCTAAATACCGTTCTTATATTAACGGTTAGGGACTTTCTCCATAGGAGCTTGTGTAGCTTTGTGCCAGGCTCTGCTCAGGAGCCTGTGCCAACTCATTTTGATGTGACTGAGTCACTCCTGTGTTCACACAGATGTTCATTGCATAGGTACACATCAGACAAGAAGGATGGGAGTCCGCAAGGATATATGCATCATGCATATATCTTTGCTGTTTTTTCCAGGATGAGGAATAAGATGAAATAATTATTCAGTGAAGGATTAAGTAAAGGTTTCCTCCAGTGAAGCTGGAGAAATCCAGTTCCTGGTGGACGGAAAACAATTCAAAGAAGATGAAGTCCATCAATAAGGGTGACGTATTGAAGGCACACAGAGGGAGGACAGAGGAGGTTGTCTGAGAATGAAGCACACTTTTTAAGTGGAGGATAGCTGTTGAAGTGGGGCAGGAGGCTCTCTCTCACAGCAATAGATAGCTATCAGTTTTGAAATTGGTATGCACTCACTGCACTTCATATACATCTGCTTTTTCAGCAAGGATTTGATAAGAACATGATGGGATCTTTAGCTGGAACAACATTCAGGACCCTCTCCTCCAGATTTTAGGAGCCTCTCCACATGCGTTCAGGCTGCAGGTGAGAATGGGGCCCTCATGCATGGGGAAGGGGTGGTTTCGGGGGCAAATGAGTGGAGCGTGAACCCTATGAGGTCTTTGCTGTTTTTAATCTCCCCTAAAGTGGGTTTGTGAGATTTTAATCCCAAATCTTATCAGCCCAAACTGCAAAGTGTTTGTTTCGATGAAAGGTCATAAATTGTGCAGTTCCTGGGTTTAGTGCAGATGTTGCCCACACTACACAGCTGTGTATTTTAGACATGCTCAGCACAGATGCCATAGGACAAATCTGTTGGACTTAACTATGCCTCATGTGTCTTCCTTACTTACTTTGCCAAGCAATAACTGACTAATTGCATTTTGCCAAATCCTCTCAGGTGGGGCTTTTCACAGGAATCTCTCTGACAGTACTTTCATTCCTGAATTTTGAATAATGTTATCCAGATAGTGTCAGTAACATGCAATTAATTCCAGCACATGCTATGGCATTAACCATCACCCCTAGGGACTTTTTGAGCACTTAATAATCTGCCTGTAAGCCTCACATCAAAATTTGGAACTACATGCTGTCATCTGAAAAATCCCAGTAGAGAAACCAGGTTAGAGAAATCGTGGGCAGACTTTTCAGGGCATCATTATGGTTTTTTCTTCAGTGTGAAATGAGGATTGAATCTGTAAGGTACTTCTGGTTCATAATTCCCACTGAAGGGAAAAGCTTTAAGCACTTTTCAAATATCTGATGTCTCTATGATGGGGATTGAGATTATCCAAAATTAATTATTTGCTCTCTTCCCCAACACGCTCTTTGCGATCAAACTAAGCACAGTCCTCAGGTAAGACAAAATGGTGCAAAAGCCCATTGCTTTCCTCTGCCCAGGTGTGGGTTTCACTTCTTGCTCTGTTGGGGTGTTTCCACTGAGACTCAGAGGAGCATGGAAGTCTAGGGTGAAAAGCTATGGGGAGTACAGAAACTGGGTACAAGACAAGAAAAAGATTTAAAATTGGTTTTGAATGTAATGAAAAGATTTCTTGAATGCTCTAATTACCTGGGCTTTTGGGTTTTGTTTGTTTTTCTCCATTTCAGAATTTGGAATTGGTTCATGTCCAGGAAGACAACCCTTTCACATTTACTTAGGATGTTAAAGATGTAGAGTGTTTCTGAGTTTAACTCAACTGTAAAGCAAACTAAACATATGGATTTCATGTGGATGATACTGATATTTTTAAGCATTTTCTTCTTTTTAGGGGGAGAAGGGACTTCTATTGAGGTTATACTTTCTTGATGTCAATAATTTTTTTTTTTTTTTTGCAAAGAGTGTGTCTGTGTAACTATGTACGTGTCGCTGTGTATGTGTGCATGCAGGCAACATACATGCACACACATGGTGAGTAGGATCTCCCTCCAGGCTTAGTCCCCTGTCGTCCACCGAAAGTCGGTGTGAGTTGTGCAGTTTAACCCCCTTGCAGAGTTTTTTCCAATTCCACCAGATCCATGCACCAAATACTGCCACACTAAAAACATGTCACAACCTATTTTTACCCACAAGTATAAAAATGGCCAATTTTAGGTCCCCCATTGGATATGGCCATTATAGACAGATACACACAACAATACTCTTCTTTACAAAGGCTGGTTATTCCTAACATTTATAAACACAAGCTTCTTTTCTGCTTATGAATTTTTCTCCAATGAGCTCTTCTAGTTATTAGTATTTTCTTTCCTGTCACGTGAACTCTTTATCTCAAGAAGCAAATTGACGTCTGCAAACTCTCTCCCGGGTCTCAGTAACCCTTCTCAGAAGCTGTATGTGAGGGGACAATTGCAACACATCTGCAGACCATGAATATTACTGGGTCCCGAACCATTTTGAGCGCCAGAACAACTCAATCTCGTGACTGTACCTGGACAAATGTGGCATTTGAGAAGCTGAGCTGGAGACAGGCAAAGTGTTTTTCCCGTGGGATCACTGACCGCCACACAGGACTGAAAAAAGTGAGGGATGTGGTCTTTTTAATCACATAATGGTTTTACTGATCAATGTAAAGAAATAGTATTAATATGCAAAGGAATGTAAGCACTTGTGTGAAGTCAGGTTTGGAAATATTTTATTTCTTGTGATCTTTAATTACATGAATCACCCTGTGATGCTAAGGCTGTGATAGAGGACTGCTGAGCTCATTTCAGGGCAACCCAATTCTTATGACAGGAACCATGTGATGAAAGAGGCTGATCTTCCTCTCTCCAGAAGAAAAATATCCTCTACCTGTCCCGAGAGGGGCTGCAGCTCAGATCCACAGGGAAAGGACCAGCTGAGGATGCATTTGCTGGCTGTCCCACACATGTGGTTATTGCTTCGTCAAACAGCAGAGGGGCACAGGATCCCATTTTGCAAATATCAGGGATGCAGGAGGTGCTTGGGAAGGATGAATTATGAGCCTGGAAAGGGAAAAACACTCTCATTTTTTTGCAAGCGTTAGACTCCTAAATTGGCGGAAATTAGCATGTCCCCATTCACTTCACAGAAATGGGGTGATTTGTGCCCGCTAAAGAACCGTCCATGAAGTCCAGATTTGCTCTGACACAGCTCTAGAGCTAAGAAATGCGGTCCGCTTGTTTGTCCCCCATTTAGACCGTAGGGAGCACATGTCCACAGAGGGAGATCATTTTCCAGCTGGTTTTTCTCTTGGACTACAAAGGGTGGCTTAATCTTGTGCACTTTAATGAGCAGCAACTATTTGCTTGCCTTCACCCACGTTCAGTCCAGAGCTTTCTGTGCCGAGCTCTCAGCCAAATGAGAGAGAAACAAAGCACCTTTGAAGTGGAGAGCTAGAACCAGGCGAATCCGGTAGGACAGTTTCAGGAGCATTTAAACAGCAGCAAAGGAGCCCCAGCCCTTGGGCATGCCCTTGCCATACCTGCCAACTCTTCCCTAGCTGGATGTATATTCTCAGATGCACAGTTCAAAATGTTTTCAGCAGGACTCAAGACTACAGATGTCCAAAATGGTTGCAGCATCCACAGGCAGGATTGTTACAGTTTTGGTGTAAAAGTATGTTGTGTGCAATTTTGCATTCGGATTTGTTCCTGTAATTACATGTTCGACAGAAGTCCTGGGAGCTAATGTTTTTCTCCGTAAAATTAATTGGGGAAACCTAACTACAAAATGTAATGATGGAATATTGAGGAAATTCATTCTAATTGACTGTTATTTAGGCTTTATTTTAAAACACTGCTGCTGCTTTCACTGGTAATGCAGTTTGCTGAATGGCTGTATGAGGCACAAAGAGCTGTAGCTATATGATCATCATCTCACAATTAAATTTACAAGTACTGGAGATTTTGTTATTAAGTGTTAGACCCAATGAGACAGATACATCATTCACACAAATTTTATTAAGTACAGCAAAGTTGTTTTTTTCCAAAGCTAATAAAGAGATAGAAATAAAATCTGTCTCCATCCTCAGAGATTTTCAAAACATGACTGGGCACAGCCCTGAGAAATCTCATCTAGCTTTGACGTTATCCCTGCTTTGAGCTGGGCAGACCAGAGAGGTTCCTTCCAATCTAATTTTTTTTATGATGCTGTATGTTACTGCTTTCATACCTCAAAAAATAGCTAACTCAAGAAAGCAGCAGGCTGTGTGAATTGTAACCACTCTGCCATCCCAGGGCTATTTTGCAGCTATTTCTTCCCCAGGAAATTCTCTGGTACTCAACTCTATTTTCCTCCCAGTCTCTCTTTTTAAAATCTGGACTACAGACTCCACCCAAGTCACTGAAGTGATACTGATGCCCAATTGTGAGAAGAGAAAGGAAAATCAGACTTATCAGGGTAACTGGCATTGCTCATAACCAGCAGTTTCAGGAACTCAGTGAGGTTTCCTCTATCATAAATGGATGCTGTTTTCATCTCCAACAAATATTTTTTTTTCATTCTAGGGAGGTATTGTTTCTTAAAGGCATGTTTTTAACTGTGACATCTTCTTCAATGAGCTTGTTTCCTGTTTCTTGCTTATTTAAGAGCCAAGGTAGGCCATACCCCCAATGATAGGGATGAGGGCAGGTCTACAGCACGTAGCACATGCCCTGGGTCATAGTGATGGAGAATTACTGAGGAGGGAAGGACCATAACTAGCAGCACCGTTAGCTCTGCTGGCAGCAGAAGTAAGAGCAGTTGGGGCCTGATTTGTGCACAGGACACACAACCATGTAAATAAATACCATACTTGTTTGTCCTGGACTTAGCAGAGCTTTTTTTGGTCTATTTTCTCATAAATGCTTTGTTTGTTTTGTGTATGTACAATCCAACCCACCCCAGCATTTCAGAAGCCTCATGGACAAGTAGAAGGCAGTAGGCAGTTTTATTCCTCTCTGACCCCACACCAGTTTGAGACCAACTTAGCCTACCAGTCCATAGCTATACAGTGTATTCTGTAAGATATAGGTATGTGAGAATAATGTATCAGAGTTTTGTTTTGGCTGTACTGTATGTATTTGCTTCACTGGAAAAGCTGAAATCAATAAAAATTGCTGAAATTTCTTCAAGCTTCTCATTTTTTATGGTTTTATTTTGGTTGTCTTGCCAGTGTTAGGAAAGAATAAAGCATCTGTTTGAAATGTTCATAAAAGCCTGTTACCCTGCAGCAGTGATCAGTCTGGACTACCCTGCCTTATGCCGATATGAGTAACGAAGCTGTAAATCCCGTTTCCTCCACCATTACATCCTTGGCAAGCCTCAGTGAGTTTCTCTCCCATGAGTTTTTACAGTCACCACTTCAATCCATGAAAAATTTAATTATCAATAGCATCATTTGTGTCACTGCTGTATGGTTTCAAAGCTTGTTGTGGGGAAAAACCCCACACCTTAGTTTCTTCTGAACCTGGCTCATATGAGCTGTGTTTGAAGCTTTCTAGGTCTTACATTTAAAAAGTGTGACAAGTTTCTCTTTGGTCCAGTCTGGAAAGTCCCAGGACACAGACCAGTTCCTCAGG